TTAAATAGATTTTTAGCCAATCAACAAAGCCTGAGCGTTCTAATTCAGGTTCATTACGTATTCCAGATTACGTATGTATCTAAATAAAATATATCGATAGAATATACAGATAGAATTGACAAATCATCCCTTTGACAATTTTAAATTTTAATGAGAAGACGCATAGGTAGAGACTTTTATCAGGCAGTCCATAAATACATTTTCCCGAGCTGCTGGATATTGGGAAGGACTGACTGGATTAGGTTGTCCTGGTTTTCCTAAAGTTAGGTGTCTTTCGGGAAGAGTAGCGACGCCATAGGTGCAACCTCTTCGTAGTCGTTGTTTTCTGCAACATTCTTCAGTTTTACAGCTTAGAGTCGATTTGATTTCACAGAAATCGTGCTCGGAAAGTTCGCAGCTCATTTTTGGATTACGAATTGCCACGCCCCCCAGTTCTGTACAGTTGTAAACATATTGAGGTTCACATGAATGATCCTTATTGATGCCTGTGATCTCTTTGCCGCATATTTCGGCTGGTAATCCGTGCTTCCACTCCTTCGGACAAGTGCAGGCCTTAAAGATAGGTTAATATTTATTTTTTTGTGGCCAAAGATCATATAAAACGATGTGTACCTGTAGTTTGGCAATCTCAAGTACCCAGAAGTATTGCAGCCACTTAGTTACGACCATTCTCCTGCTTTGTAGTTAGTAATTTGAAGTTACGCATGTAATTTTATAAGTTATAATTCTTGCTGAGATGTTCGTAAACTGTTATTTAGTGATAAATAAGTACTCATTGTTCATTTTCCAACCCATTACCGAATCCTGCAGATTTTTATTTCATCATTCACGTATATTGGTTTTATTTGATCCTGGCTCTTGCAATAACTACAGCTATCGCCATTTTTATGACTGTTCATTCAAGCCAAGAATTTAAAAACAACTCAATAATGTGGCGATATTAAATACAATAAACGATAAACCAACTTACAAAACTTACAAATTTGAGGTTTCCAATTTAACCAATTCATCTATTAGGTTATGAAAATATATCGGTCACGTAACAGCCTAGTACACATAGTTGTCAAAAATCAAGTATAGTTAGGCATTTAAAATTACCAGAATACAGATAGAATTGACAAATCATTCTCATTTGACGATTTTGAATTAATGAGAAGACGCATATAGAGAGGATTTGTTTAAGCAGTCTAAAAATACATTTTCTCGGACTGCTGGATATTGGGAAGGACTGACTGGATTATATTGTCCAGGTTTTCCTAAAGTTCGATGTCTGTCGGAAAGCCTAGCGACGGCATCGGCGCAGCCCCTTCGTCGTCGATCTTTTTTGCAACATTCTTCAGTTTTACACGCTTGACTAAATTCCATTTCACAGAATTGGCGCTCGGAAATTTCACATTCCATTTTTGAGATGCCTATGCCTCTTCCCCCCAGTTCTGTACAGTTGTAAATATATTGAGGTACACATGAGTGATCGTTATTGAGGGCTGTGATCTCCTTGCCGCATATTTCGACTGGAAGTCCATACTTCCACTCCTTCGGGCAAGTGCAGGCCTTAAGGAAAGATTAAATATTCTAAATTCTTTAGTGGTCAAAGAACAAATGTAATGATGTGTACCTGTAGTTTGGCAATCTCTAGTATCCAAAAGTATCGCAGCAACTTAGTTATGACCATTTTCCTGCTTTGTAGTTAGTAACTTGATGTAAGTTACACGTATAATTGCATAAGCCATAATTCTTGGTGCTATACTCACATGCCGTCATTTAGCAATAAATAACTACTTATGTATTGTTCATTTTCCAACGCATTACCATACATATCCTGCAGATTTTTATTTAATAATTTTTATTGGATCTTGCCACTTTCATTACTGTTCGATTAAGGCAAGAAGAGGACAAGCCTGTCATTTGTCATGCAACGATATTTTAAAATTTCAACAATCATGAATGAAAGCTAGGCTGTTATCAACTTTCTTGTTTCGTGGAATAAATACGTTTTTAACCAAATGTACCCAGCCTGAGCGTTCTTAATCAAGTTCAATACTTCCACCTGATTATAAATAAATATATCGGCAGGTTAACAGCCCGGTAAGAATTTTTGTGAAAAATCAAGCAAAGTAGTCAAATACAACTAGACCTTTATTTAGGCTTTACTAGAATACAGATAAAATTTGACAAATTATCCCTTTGACAAGTTTTTGAATTTTATGGAGAAGGTACATTGGCGAGGTAATCTTTTAGGCATGCCTCGAAAACATTTTCTCGAACTGCTGGATATTGGGAAGGACTGACTGGATTAGGTTGTCCTGGTTTTCCTAAAGTTAGGTGTCTGCCGGGAAGGGTAGAGACGCCATAGGTGCAGCCCCTTCGTCGTCGTTGTTTTTTGCAACATTCTTCACTTTTACAGCTCAGCGTCAATTTGATTTCACAGAAATAGTGCTCGGAAAGTTCACAGCTCATTATTGAGTTACGAATTGCCACACCCCCCAGTTCTGTGCAGTTGTAAACATATTGAGGCTCACATGAATGATCGTTATTGAGGGCTGTGATCTCTTTGCCGCATATTTCGGCTGGTAGTCCGTACTTCCATTCCTTCGGACAAGTGCAGGCTTTAAAGATAGGTTAATATTTATTTTTTTGTGGTCAAAGATCATATAAAATGATGTGTACCTGTAGTTTGGCAATCTCAAGTACCCAGAAGTATTGCAGCCACTTAGTTAGGACCATCCTCCTGCTTTGTAGTTAGTAATTTGAAGTTACGCATAAAATTGCATAAGTTAAAATTCTCGGTTGTATACTCATATACCATCATTTAGTAATGAATAAGTACTTATTGTTCATTTTTCAACCCATTCCCATATCCTGCAGATTTATATTTCATTATTCACGTATATTGGTTTTATTTGATCCTGGTTATTGTTATAATCAGTGCTACTAGCATTTTTATGACTGTTTATTCAAACCAAGAATTTAAAGACAACCAAACTATGTAGCAATATTTTAACAATTTTACTAATCTTGAATGAAAGTTAGGTTCTTTCAAACTTTCTTTTTTAACAGACTACACAGATTTTTAAAAGTATACAAAGTAATATAATCTCTGTCAGAGTATGTAAATAAAATCGATAACATAACAGCCCAGTAAGAATTGGTATCAAAATTCAATCATGGTAATCAAGTATATTTAGCTCTACGTTTATTCAGACTACTAAATTACATAGAGCGAAGAAATCATCCCTTTGACAGTTTTGCATTCTTATAGAGAAAGTTTGTGGGTGCGGTAATCTTTCAAGCACGTTACTAATACATTTTCTCGAACTGCTGGATATTGCGAAGGACTGACTGGATTAGGCTGTCCTGGTTTTCCAAGAGTTTGATGTCTGTCTGGAATAGTAGCGACAGCATGGGTACAGCCCCTTTCTCGTCGTTGTTTTCTGCAACATTCTTCAGTTTCACAAATTGGACTAGAAATCATGTCGCAGAAGTTGTGATTAGAACAATCCATTTCATAACCAATTGTCGCAACTCCTCCCAGTTCTGTGCGGTTTACATGTCGGGTCGGTGTTGATGGCTGTGATTTCCTTGCCGCATATTTCTGCTGGCAACCCGTATTTCCACTCCTTCGGGCAGATGCAGGCCTCAAAGAGATTATAATTACAAGATGGTAAAGGACGCATGTTTGAGAATGTTTGTAATATATGTATACCTGTATGATATTTATTTGGAGTATACAGAAATATAGAAGCCAAGTAGTCAACGCCATTCTCTGGATGATAAGTTACACATAGGTAACTCACAACCGATATGAAATATTTTATATAAAGTAATACAGGTTTATGCTTTGTGCTGTGCATACATATTTCCATTCATTAATAAATCTTATTTATCGCCAATTTCCACATGTAATATCCACCGCGATTAAATTAGCTTATTGTGATTGGTTTACTCAAAATACTGTGGAGCAGTTGTTTATTGATCTCTTTGTCCTGTGGCGATATTCTTACAATTTAACAATCATGAATGAAAGTTGTTACAAATTTCCTTGTTTCGTGATTTAAATAGATTTTTAACAAATCCTGAATGTTGTAATTCGGGTTCTATAAAATTGTATATCTGTCAAGCAACAGCCCAGTAAAAATATTTGTCAAAAATCATGCATAATAATCAAGTATAGTTTGACGCTTATTCAGGTTACTAGATAGAATTCATATACATATCTATAATTGATAATTCATCATTCATCCCGTTGATGGTTTTGAATTTTATGGAGAAGGTTCACGGGTAGAGACTTTATTAAGGCAGTATAAAAATGTATTCTCCCGAACTGCTGGATATTGGGAAGGACTGACTGGATTAGATTGTCCTGGTTTTCCTAACGTTATATGTCTGCGGGGAATACCACCGACGGCTTCAGTGCAGCCTCTTCTTCGTCGATCTTTTTTGCAGCATTCTTCAGTTTCGCAAGCTTGACTATATTTCATTTCACAGAAATAATGTCGGGCAATTTTACAGCTCATTCCTGGGTCAGCAATTCCCACGCCCCCCAGTTCTGTGCAGTTGTACACAAATTGAGGTTCACATGAATGATCGTTATTGATTGCAGTGATCTCTTTGCCGCATATTTCGGCTGGCAGTCCATACTTCCACTCCTCCGGGCAAGTGTAGGCCTTAAGGACATATTAAATTTTGAAATTCTTTAGTGGTCAAGGAGCATAAAATGATGTGTACCTGTAGTTTGGCAATCTCTAGTATCCAAAAGTATCGCAGCCACTTAGTTACGACCATTCTCCTGCTTTGTAGTTAGTAATTTGAAGTTATGCATGCATATAATTGTATAAGTTATAATTCTTGGTGCTATACCCAAATACCGTCATTTAGGATTAAATAAGTACTTATTGTTCATTTTCCAACCCACTGCCATATCCTGCAGATTTTTATTGCATCATTTTTATAGGTTTTATTGGATCCTGGTTCTTATTATAACCAGCGTTATCGCCATTTTAATGACCCTTCATTCAAGCCAAGAATTCAAGAACAATCCAGTCACTATACTTTTCAAACCATCCAGGCTCCCAATTGAAAATGTCACGTTTCCGCAACTAACTATTGGGAAGCAGAATAACATTAATGACGAATTTGTTAAACAAGTAGGGTGGTAAGTTATTTAAAAACTTTAATTCTACAGGATCAAATGTATGCATATCTAATACAGTAACATCCCAACATTTAATATCAGGCTTCAGGAAGAATACAAGGTTACAACAACTGCAGTGATAAAATTTAACGGCATGGATATGGATCGAGATCAAATTAAAAACTTTTTAATTCTTATGAAAACGTTCTGCCAGCCATGGTTTAGAGGTTCCAACTGGCAACCAACTGACTCTCCTGTTGAACGAGAAGATCGTCTCATGCTAAATTTTGACATTGACGAGTTTAGATTGACAGACTTTGGTAAAGAAGAAACTTTGGTGGAGAATTTGGCTTTAAAGATTATAGAGGTTTTTTTGAATTCATTAAATTCATACAAGTTATGAATTACATATTACATAGTATGATAAAAATGCGTAAATGTAAATTTAGGGGACCCCCAAGTGCTCTGAAATGATGGTAGCTTGCACGTTCAATTCCATGCCAGTGGATTGCTCCGAAGTATTTCAAGATACCTACACAGAATCTGGTCCTGCATGCAGCTTTAATGCCATGCCCTCCACTTTATTGAGACGGTATGCTTACACTTGTACTCACTCACTTACACTTAATGTAAATAATTAATAACTATTACTATAGTAATAGTTATTAATTATTTACATTAAGTGTAATAATTATAATTAATAATTATAATTAATTAATAATTAATTATTACTAATCAGACAAGACACAGTTATCACCATGCTTGAGAAAATCCAACGTAATATTGGTGAAACAGAAAACAATGCATGGAAGTCTTGGAATGTGCATAAAAGTCTCCAAACCAACATTACTCGAGGGGGCAGGAAAATAGGCGTTCCAGACTTTCAAGAGCAAGAAGGGCAGTGGTTCGGCTTTCAATTCATCATAAAATATCCCGAGCGTGGAGCGCATTGTCATCAATCTGACTCCAACAACTATCGGGTACCGGAAAAATTATCAAAATTATCTTTATTAACCAGTTACTAATTTATAGTTCTTTAAGCTGACGGTAAATTTTCCTCTTGATGAGCCAAACTTGCGAGACCATGGGAGGGACATTCCTCCAGGTTATAAGGCGATCAATGTCATTAAACCCAGCGTTATAATGGCAGAGGAGGATTCGCATTCTGCGCCACCAGTGAGTCGAATATTGTACACAAATTGAGGTTCACATGAATGATCGTTATTGATTGCAGTGATCTCTTTGCCGCATATTTCGGCTGGCAGTCCATACTTCCACTTAGTCAGTCGTCTCTTAAATAAATAAAATTCTCCCTTTGTTGACAGGAAAAGAGGGGCTGCTATTTCACTACCGAAAGAAAGCTTGCATACTACAAAAATTACACTGAAAGCAATTGTTGGAGGGAATGCAATGTCACTGCGACTTTGGACAAATGTGGATGCAGCAGGGTGTACCATCCACGTAAATAAATTAAATATTTGCTTTCTATTCCCATTAATTAATAGCGTAATAATTAGTTAATTTTTAACACTCGTTCAGGGAATTCTACTGACAGAATATGCTCAACCCGAAATGATGAAATTTGTGCAAATGGCGTAGAATGTAAAAATTTTAATTTTTATACGTATAAAAAATTGCGATCCACTAATTTGTTTTTATATTTCAGCAAATACAAACGGCACCCGAGATTGCAAATGCCTGCCAGGATGCAATGAGGTGATGTATGAAATGACCACGACACTTATTCCGTACCCGACGGACGAGTTGCCTGAACTGGTTCAAGACTTTCTTCAAGAGTAATAAAAATTTTAGCCTGATTTTTGGTTTCACTATAAACAAAAGACAATTTTTATTTCATAATTTTGACAGTGACGACACCCCCACATCAATTGTCATCACGTACATGGAAGTTGCCTCCGTCCGTGTGGTCACTGCAAAACATCGCTTCGACTGGGTTGAGCAACTTGGTGAGTAAAAAATAAAACCCATTTCTTGCTTTCACTTTCTGCTTTCACTCATAAAAATGCACCCAAACCTTTCACGTTAAGGATTACATGGCGGAAATTGGGGATTAACGAGTGGCCTGGGACTCTTGGACTTGGGGAGACTAATTTTCTCTGCTATTTATGTCCTCGTCATCACTGGCCTCCTTTCCTACGTGGCGAAATGTTGTTGGTGTTGGTCACGACCAGAAGAGGAGAGTCATTCCAAAATGAACGAGTTGTACATGACAGCGATGGCACTCCCGATGGGTCTCGCCATTCCTGAAGCCGCTCGAATGGACCAACTATCCAAGTTCCCGAAAATGCCACAAATTGTCAAGGATTACATGGAAGACTTTGCAAAATCAAAGCAACCGGAAGAGGGAGAAAGTGATGCTGATCATGAAAATGAAGTCATCACACAGCAACCAACTTCATCCTCTCCCGAACGTCCAAGCACTGCCAAAAGTGAGTCAAAATCACGGAAATTAGTCCGGCCCAAATCAGCAAGAGCTATCGCAAAGTCAAAGTTTCCATATTGGACGGTAGGGAATTTTTTGGAGTGGTTTCCCATTCGATATGGCTTAAAAATTAAGCAAAGTCTGGCAGATGATTTTGATGATGATAAAACTGGGCAATGCTGCTGCAATTCTTGCTTTCCTTGTTGTCATGCTAAAGATGAGGTGATTGTCCCCCTTGCTGAAGTTGGTACGGAGAACGAAGCCATCGAATTAGTAGATCAACCAATCGCTGGACCAAGCTGCATTGCTGTCGCCCCCGCCGACGCCAGCAATGCAGCCCCCGACCCGACGGAAGCTTCCCAAAGCGACCCTGAAGTTCTGGAGGAAGATGATTTTGAAGAGATGTGGCGACAGCTTTAAACTTATGCACGCTTATTTTTTACTGCCCTCAGATGAGTTAGTTGGCGACCGCTTTGTACACATATTTTGTACTCGTACAGTATTGATCTCACTTTGGCACAATCGCTGATCTCTACTAATTTTAGGTGTTCATTACCTTTAAAAGCCTCCAAATTATACACAATTAAAATAGATACTTGGTGTATGAATCATGCAAACCCAAACTTTCTCCCAATTCACTAAATCCACCAACAAAGAAAGGAATTGCACTTATGCACAAAATTGCCAGCAAGATTTTAAAAATTAATATTCAATTCAGTTCCAAAGCATCCAAAATATTTACAAACTTTTATTAATTTGATTGATTTTGACACCATTAACTTGTAATTGCAAAAATGTAATTTGTTTTTAGTAGTTAGAATTTTTATATTGATTTAAGACCTAAAAAATGGCTTCAATTAAGAAAATTATCAGAATGTAAAAAAAATATCTGCAATATATCCGTACACCCCACCGTATTGAATATTACAAAATATTTATTAAAGCTTTAAAGTTATGCACGCTTATTTTTACTGCTCACACATGAGTTAATTCGTGACATTCTGCACTTTTACCGTATTGATTTCACCTTGACACAATCGCTGATCTCTGCTAATTTTACATATTTTAGTATAATTACTTACACTTAAGTATTTCGATTGCAGATTGCAGTGTTCATTGCTTTAAACTTTAAAGCCTACAAATTGTACACAATTCCTTTGTGTATGCAAATGCATGCAATGTTAAACTTTCTCCTAAAGTGGTGTTTATGCTTCACGCCATCGTCACGTCCTCCTTCAAATCCGATTTTTTGATTGGCTGAACGAAATTATCACTACGACAATTAAAAATTTTAACCAATCAAAAAATCGGATTTGGAGAAGGACGTGACGATGATGTGAAGCATAAACGCACCTTAATTCACTGCATTCACATAAAATTTCCAGAAGTTTTCTATTTTTCTATATTTAATCAGCTACAAAAGCAATCCAAAATATTTTCAAACTTTTGAAAATTTGATAGATTTTGACACCATTAATTTTTTTGTAAAAAAATATGATTTTATTTAGAAAATAGAGATTGACACAGACGTAGAATTCGAAAATTTATACCTAACTTCAGTTAAAAAAATTAACACAATGATAAAACAAAATAAAAAATATCACTCTGCAATAAATTTGTCCACCTTACATATTATTACAAAATAATTAGAATAGCAATTTTGTACCGGCGAGCTTAAGTATTGGTATTGACAAAATATGTATAACCGATAGAATGCATTTACAAGATCGTTTACTGAGCCAGTTAACCATTTGCACGTGCTTACAATTAATTAATTACCTTTAATGAATTTAATTGCTGAGATGAACATTTTATGCATTTCTTCATCTTTAAGTCGATTTAAGTAAAATTAATGAATTACGCACTCGTACGCAATAATGTATACACCAAAAATATACGTCCGCACTCGACATTTTATGAAATTACAATCTTGACATTCTTTCAAAAAGTCTAGCTTTCAAGTAAAACTCAGCTTTATGTGAAATACTATTAAGAAATTAAAAAATATAAAATAAATTGCTTAGTCATATTGTGGTTTTACATAAATTTCGCTCAATGGTAAACTAACAGTTAATAATAATTAGCTAATTATTATTAGTCCAGTTACTATTTTATTATTCATGCATTCTCATTTAATTACTTAATTTGATTCTTTAAAATTATTGATAAACTAATAATTATGCTCTCAAATAAAATTCTAGTCTCTCTTTAGCTTCACAATCTCCAGCAGAAAGTGAATGATTTGATTTAATTATGTAACAAATATAATATGCACCAAAAATAAATAAACACCCTTAAAATGTAGTCTCTCTTTTCATAATGTATACTTTATTTCACAAAATCTGACAATTTATTACACAAGTATTACATGATTCATAATAATACAAGCTAAAATTATTACAAGATCACATGTTGGTCGTCGGACATTGGACGATTCTTCGATTCTATTGTCTTCCACAATTTTCTCGATGCGTTGTTTCTTCGCGTTTGACTGGGGACGGCCTGCATCCACTTCTTGAACATATTGATTCAGCTCGTCGTACGTATCGTCGCCAGAGTATTGATTGTATTCATTGTTATAATTGTTGTAATTCTGTCCTCCTCCTCCTCCTGCACTGTAGTAATTTGCGTTGTAATCATTGGATGACGCTCCACCTCCAACGCCGACTACGGCTGGTTTAGCCTGGAAGAGAGAGGAGAGTCGGGATTTTAGAAGTTTTTCGTAAAATTAACAAGGGTGGGGAAAATACTTCGGCAAAATACAGTATTTTGAGCTCAGTTCTTCCCAGGGGTTAAGATTTTCAGGGTTGTTACACCCACAAAAAGAGGAGAATCTGCGTGGAGAGGGAAAAAGTCTTACGAAAATACAGGTTTTGTGAAGAAATTAATTTTTTATAGCTGTCAAAATGGATGATTTTCAAAAAATAAAGTATTCTGACAGCGATAAAAAGTTTTTTTTCACAAAACCTGTATTTTCTTAAGACTGTTGCCTTCTCCACGCAGATTTTCACCTTTCCGGGGGTGTAACACCCCCGGAAATCCAAACCCTGTGAGAAGAACGGAGGTCAAAATACCGCATTTTAGAAAAACATTTTGCTCATCTCCGAAATTAATATGCAAAAGACAAATTCATAGCAAATCCCATATTTACATTGTTTGATTGTCCTGATGCAAATCCTTGCTCAAAGTTATCAATTGCTGTCCCCACAACGTTTGAACCACTGCTGCTTCCCGAAGACAGAGCGGCCTGAAAAAAATAATCGGCAGTATTTGGTCTCGACTCGGGATTGTACACGTTTAAATCATTATTGTCAGCTTGGTCGTCATCATACGTGTCGTAATTTTGGGGGGACATGTCGTTTGGAGAAAGCGCAAATAAAGGAGCAATATTTGGTATTTCTTTGACAAACTGTAGTTGAGCTGTCGTTGGTTTTTGTGTTGTGGTTGTAGGCGTTGGGGCAAGCGTTACTGCAGGGATTGGATTTTGTAATCTTTGCAAAAGCACTTCCTGCTTGATCTGTTGTGCGCTTTTTGTTGTTGTTGTTGGTTTATATTTTTGTATAAATTCTTGTAATAGCTGGTCCAAACTTTTGACTGGTGCTGATGATTTGGTCGTCGTTGTAGGTTTCTGAGTAGTCGTTGTCGTGGTGGGTTTCTGAGTGGTGGTCGTTGTCGTTGCTGCTGCTGGCTTATATTTTTGTGCGAATTCTTGCAATAACTGGTCCAAAGTTTTTGCTGGTGCTGATGATTTGGTAGTTGTTGTCGGTCTCTGAGTAGTGGTTGTCGTTTTTGCTGCTGGTTTATGATTTTGTGCAAATTCTTGCAATAGTTGGTCCAAACTTTTGGCTGGTGCAATCGGTTTGGGTTTTTGAGTGGTGCTAGTTGTCGTTGTGGGTAATTTGTATTTTTGCAGCAATCCTTGCAATATCTGGTCCAAACTTTTCGTCGTGGTTGTCGATACCGGTTTTAGATTGTGCTTATCCATCAAGTCTTGCATTATCTGTTGAAGACTTTTTGTCGTCGTAGTTAACTTTGTTGTACCTCTTGCTGAAGGAGGCTGCAAAGATAAAGCTTTTTGTCTTGCTTCTTTTACTAATTGTTGCAATTTTTGCGCGTACGAAGTCGTCGTCAGTTTTGGGATCGTCTTGGTAGGAAAAGTCACATATTTACGGATTCTAGAAAGTATTACCTGCGCGGCTGCCTCAGCCTCTGCTTCCGGATCTTCGACCACGACATCCTTTCCGTACGGGGCAGGATCCGGGAAGATAAGCACTTTGCCTGCCGGTGGTGCTGGCAAATCCGTTTTCGTGTTCCCATCCGTAAACACGAGTTGCTGTTGTCCCGTCGGATTCACAATTGCTCTCATCCCCAAAGGAATCTTGTCATGGGCCGAAATCAATCGGAGTGGTGCTGGATATTCGGACGATTGCTGTTCCTGCTGCTGCACGGATGTCAACGGAGGGTTCAGATCGTCCAAGCTCTTGATCTCCCACTTCACATTGGGTGGATTTGGGACCGGCATGACCATAACTTTGCCTGGTGGAGGATACGCCAACACAACCTTCACACCCGGCATGAGTGCATCCTCGAGGACGAGTCTCTGTCCAAATTTCGGTTTTATCATCTCCATATATCCCATTTGGATGTTCTTCTCATCCGCAATTATCATTCCGCCCGGGGATCGAATATTTTTTACGACAATTCCTCCCGTGTTGGTGTCAGGGATGACGAATTTCATCTGGGGTGGGATTTCTGGCACCATTTCTTTGAATTCGGGTCTATGTGCGTACTCCATGATGAGCATGTTGCCTAGTTGAGGTTTTTGAATCATTGTCCACCCCGGTACGGGTCGGTCGAAGGCGGGGACAATTTTCAGAGGTGGAGGTACATGCGGGACTAGATATTCCGTAACCAGGGTCAATCCTGGGGTAACTATTCTTGGGAAAGTGGCCACCATTCCGGATGGAGGGTCGGCTGGAATCAGTCCCAGTGAGGCGGATGCAGATTTGAGAACGTTTACTTGTCCAGGAGGCGCGGGGTAGATTATCCGCAGATGGGGTGGGACAGCGTTGGGATATAAATATTGTATCGCGGGGGGATACTGAACGTTAGTTACGCCGAATCCATAGTTTGCCGCCTTGTTCGGAATGACCAGCGTCATCCCGGGTGGCAGTGAGGTTGGTAAGACCATTCTTGCCAGGCCGGGCAGTGCGGTGTCTTCCAGGACGTAGGTGTGGCCTACCGGAATGTCTTTCAAGGCTGTGAACCCGGGTGGAACCTGGTGCGCTGGAACGAGTTGCAGTGGTTCAGGGACCTTTAAGTTTGACACGGTTTGGGAGGAAATGCAGGCTGGAAGTGCAATTAAGACGAGGACGGTGAATATAGGAAAGGGCGACATTATATGAATAATCGGGTTTCGAGAGGGTGAAAGAATTGGAAATCAGTGTAAAATTATGCATATATTTTGAGGATTTATGTTTATTTTTGAGGATTTAGAAGTTTTATGTGCATGGAGACGCATTTGAGATGCATCTCCATGGGTATTCATATGAAGATATCCCATGACTCATGATGACGGGGACATTTGGGGACATTGACACTGTAGGATAGGGGAAGGGAGGGGTTTATATAACATGGGCAGATGATGGGGACATCGAATAACCGTGGGGACATTGTCCATCTGTCCCCACACTTCCACAGGTTAACGAGTAGAAATTGAGATACTGGACCGGCTTTCATGTATTGACTCCAAGTGATAAATTGAGAATCATAATTTATTCCCAGTTTTGCCTACTTCACACAATCAGCAAAGTTATGTGTGAAGTTTTATTTATGCAATAATTAATAATTGTACGCGTCTCAAAGAAACTCAATCTTATTATATTTTATTTATTTATAATGGTCGAGAATTAGAGCAGCTAGAAGACTGTAAAGGGAGGAAGGAAGGAAGTGCGTGTCCATCCACTTTAAAAATATGCATGTACGTCAGCCAGTCAACATTTGCATTTTTTTCACAGAGAGGCACGACACAATTAAAATCATGCCATAATTGCAAAGTTGAATACTAAATTACAATTAGATTCAGTAGCCAAAGAATGGTTCTGCTTAGTTAGTTTCCTCTTCTTCTTCTTTCATCTACATAATCTTTTTGATGAGATATGTATATTATGAATAATCAAGTTACTAGCAGAACTGTATGGAAAATAAGACATTATTTTCTGTCTTTGCTAATAACAAGATGCGATAAAAATCTGTAGCAAAACCTAGAATTACACTCTGAACAGACAGAGGAAGTAATATCGTTTTGTGCCTGTTGTCGTAGATTGGATGGAAATGAGCTTTTTCATTAATTTTCAATACTTGTCTCATTTCAGAAAACAATTTGTTAGAAAATAAATTGTGTGAAAAAAAGTGCAAGTTATCTTTTAAATAAGAATCTAAACAGACAAACCAAGTGTGGGAAAAAATATGCAATTACAGGATTAATACTCACTTACACATGAATGAAGCAAGATTATTATATAATATTCATATGTGTGCCTGAATTACGAAATGAATAGTAAAGTTATATAATTTGGCATTGTAAAAATAAGAATGACACAACAGCAACACTTTACTTTACCACAAACACAATGCATTCGGCGCAAAAATGGGAGGATTACATGCCAAATTAAATGAGGAAGTTTTTAGAATGTGAGTAGATAGAAATATGTGTAAAAATGGATCAGATAAAGAAAAGAGTGCGTGCTTATGTATGCAAAATGAGATCAGTAAATAGCAAATTAAAATGTGCAACATTATGCAAATGAAGGACAGAATTAAGAATAAGCAAAGTGTAGTAAACTCTAGCAAACTGTCAAGTATTATTACGACGCGAAGTTGTAAAAATAAAGCGTTTTAACAAAAAACAAGTGAAATACAAAAATAAACGAGAAATATATCAGTATCAGTCAGTGAAATATTAGTACGATTAAGGGGGAAATTGAGAAGGGGAAAGTAGAACTAGGGAAGGTTTGGCTTATTTTCTCCAGTCTTGATTAAGAAAAAGACTGGAATCGTTGTTAAAAGAATAGCGAGAAAATATGTGAGGATAAAACTTTTGGTAACTTTTGGCAGAATTTTCTATCTATATAAAAATAAGTTACATATCACTCAGCGGTATGCAATTTGAGATGACGATGAACTAGACATGACTTATTGCTTAATTAATAGTCGTAACTATTGTGTTCGTTATATCCGCCGCCGTAACCGCCTTCGGAGTGACCGTGATGACCGTGGTGATGCGCAGGCGCATATCCGACAACTTTGGGGGCGTAGTGACTCACACCAACACCGAAGGAGGTGTGACCATGTGTTATTCCGCCGTCATGACCGTGTCCCCCGACTTCGTGGCCATATCCGTGGTCGAGATGTTGGTGTGGGGCGTATTCGGGGGTGTGGTGGTGAAGGTCGTGGTGCTCGTAGACGGGGGCGGCTTTCACGACGGGGGCCTCCTGAAAATTGGGCGGCTGTCATAAATAAATATTTCTAGTGAATACAGACGCTTATCTTGGTCTTACCTTGTATTCGGGGACACCGTAATGATGTTCTGGGGCCTCGTGATGGTTCTTGTAGCCATATCCGTACCCTTCATCGATATGGTTGTGATGATGGACTGGGACCTTGGCGATGGCGGGGACGTGAGAGACAGTCTTTGCGACGGCGTGAACGCCTGGAGTCTTTTCGACGACGGCGTGAACGCCTGGAGTCTTTTCGACGACGGCGTTAAATCCGTGGACTAAATATGAGTTAAATAAGATTTATGTAGGTATTTTGTGAGATTTTGTCAAGTGATCTTAATTACTACGAGCGAGACATGACAGTTGATTAATATAAGAAGATTATGAATTTTGCTTACCTGAATCCGCAGTGTAAGTGACGGTCCTCAGACTTCCGTCAGCTTCGACAAGGGAATACTGACCTTTCACCACGTCCCCGTCTCTCGTCTCATGTTGATGCTGTGCATTTAATCAATTCATGATTCATGATAATTAGTCTGGATAACATTTCTCTTCCGAATGTGATAAGCACATACCTTAATGTCTCCCGTTGTGTGGTCATTAACGCCATAACTGAAGGCATATTTAGGCTTAGAGTAGTAATCAACGACATGTTTCTCTACCGCTGGCACGGCCACTTTTGCCAGGGCGGGTTGGTAATGGACTTCCTGTCCGTATCCTAAATGATGTCCGCCATGTTCATGATGTGGTCCAGCGTGATGATGCTCACCCCCTCCGAGATGTTCTCCACCACCCCCGTAAGAACTGTGTCCATACCCGTGACCCAAGTCCCCACCACCGCCGCCGCCATATCCTCCATGCGAGTATTCTGATACCGTACATCCAAACATGGCCATCGCCAATACGACCACTTGCACCTTTCTAGCCACCATTTTACTTTTATTTCACTTTCACTTTTTTCCTAAAATAAAAAATAAATTTCCTAAAAAACGGACGATTGACTTGATCAAATGACTATGAAATGACTGACTGATGCTGTAAGAAAAGGGGGTGAAGCCTTTTATACAAAGCTAGAAATAAAGGATGACTAGCTTCAAAATTAGAAGTGGTGGTGGCTGCCCGGCCACCTTGAAGTTTTACGAGCGTCCGTACCGCTTTACATACGTTGCACATTGGGGGATTATCTAATGGCCAATTTACCATTTTACTCTACTTTGCCATCCCAGCCATTAACTCACAGGCCGACCTGACGCAGCCAGCACTACTCTTCTGGTCACCACCAATGTACATACTTTTTTCTTACACAAAGAAAGGTACAATATGCATGTATTTTTTTAAGCTTACATAGGGAACCAAACCAATGATTATTAAATATGTACGAGCGGACGGAATTTACTTTTACTTTCGCACAATATTGTGGCAGATTACATAAATATGCACTCCTTTCAAGTAGAACTGCATGTGCATGCATGGCAGGGAAGGAATTTGCCTTTTTTTAATGAAATTTTATTAATGAAATGGCTTTATTTATGTACTCAATACATATGTATGTATGTATTCATTTACATATGCACACGTACTATATTTGTACGGAAAATTAAGGGTGCAAAACTGCAGTTTTAGCTATGTATTTGTCATTAGTTTGTGAAAATGTGCAAAGCCAACCAACACCCAAACCCAAGGTGTACAAAGAAGTTCGTTCGCACGGATGAAGGAAGGAAGATACTACGTTGCCCTATTTTAATCAAAAAGGTAATGAAATGAATGAAAATGGTGCAACTCAACCGTCGTCGTATTAATTAGAGCTTTGTTTTTTCACACGTTTTAAAATAGCACGTTGAATATGTAATATTTGCAAATGTGGAAGGACTCGAGAGTAAGTATGTAAACCCATTCAAATTTTGAACTCTTAATGGATTTCATTCTGTTTAATTATGGAACTTTTTATGAGTCTTCTTAACCACGTGTTAAAATCTACGTTTTGCTGTAGGTTATGTGAAATGATGACGAAAATTACGTATAATTTAACTGTGTCAATTATTTACGTGGTTTGATAACATCAATAATAATAATTATAATAAGTAATAAATAAGTTTTAAAAGAATTGATAATTTCCGTGTAAAGTGAGACACATTGTTTTAAGTAAATTAAATTATTGGGTAAACGGATAAATAATTATGTTTAAAATAAGGTGACACCTTTTGTGATGATTTTGTGATGAAATAAAAAAATTCGATGTGGTAATCCAAAAAAATTATTATAAAATTTTCGAAAATTTGACATTTCATTTTTTAAGACAAATTTTAACGGTGGCATAATTAGGCTTAAAATAATGTGACACCTTGTATTATTTTTTGACCAAATAAAAAGTTTGATATGGTTATTCAAAAAATTATGAAATTTTCGAAATCATTTTAAAATTTGACATTTTATTTTTTTTTAATTTTAAGACGAATTTTAACGGTGTATCTTTTCATGCTTCTTCAATTGAAGGATTGACACCTCGTTAAACTCAATAAACCGACACACAGACACACATGCAGCAAACAAGCCTCGTTCTCATTCTCTTTACAGGGAACCGTAATTACTGGGTTCTGAAGGATTAAAAGTGTGTACGTACAAGTTGCATTACGGATTCGTCAAGGTTGCTAAATACTCCAATTTTGTGTGATTCACTTGTCACACGTGAATAGTCGCAGAAGAACTGAAATTTCCTTCCTGATAAGATAAATTGTTCATAAAAGTCAGATAAATACGTAATAAGAGTCTCGTTTGGATGAGAATTAGGGGAAAATATTGTATCGACATCGACCACGTAAAAAAAGAGCTACTTCCGTTTGCACATCAATCGATCATTCTCGTGAATTGGTCGTTATTGACAGGCACGTTAACTTAATTTAGTTTTTTTTTCACTACCGGTTGCAGCAAATGCAGCGTGACTTTGTTAACTGGCAGAATAATCAATTCTTCTTAAAACTTGGTTTTTGCTAAGTATTTGTAAGTAGGAAAAGCGCAAGAGTTATCTAATAACTAGCCAAAATTAATTAATGCATACATAACTCTGGTTTATTTAAAATGTGGTAAAAAAGGGGCAAATTTTTAACATATCTAAATTAACTTGAATTTCTGAAATTTTAAAGCGCAAAAGTTAATAAGTAGTCAAAAGTAATTAATGCATGCATACATAACTCTGGTTTAAAATGTGGTAAGAAAAGGGCAAATTTTTAAGACAAATTGACTCGAATTTCTGAAATTTTTGAAATATTTGGCACATTGAGACGTAAAGTACCCGTCATTCGAAATTTCGACGAAATTTGTAAATAATTACAACCACCAACCGCACTAGTTAATTTTTTTACTAGATTCTTTTTTTGCATTCATATTGTTATCCAAATGCAGAAAGTGCACGTTATTGCATTGCATTACTTACATTTCGGGTACTGTGATGAATGAACTGTGGCTGTTTGCACTTTAATTGTTATGCGTTTTGTGGTGTGGGCTTGACTTGTGGACGTGTAAAAATAAATATTATTGCTATTTTTTGCTCAACTGCATTTCCTCCCATCGCCATTCTTTCGCATTATATTGTTGTTGTCGTCGTGTATGTACCGAGTGCATGCACATGCAAATGTATGTCTCATTTATTTCAAGTTAAATACCTTTGCATTGTTATGCCAAGATTTTTAAACCCTAATTCAACTTACGGAAGTTGAATGCAGTTTGTGGTGCAAAGGTACACATTTTTATGCCTGGATTGGATTTTACATCATTTTTTAAATAGATAATTCCATATTATGAATTGTAAACGTAAAGGTAAAGTCATTATCAGATCAGAATTTATAGGTAAAAGAATTAACTTGCTACTCATTTTCCATGCCATGTGCCATTTTATTCACTATTTATTGCCCATTATTTATCTATACATTTACATTACACAAGATCAATTAACTGCTTAAATATTTTCGCAAGATGACAATTTATTCTGTAAAGATTGGACATAATTAAACAATTATTTTTAAAAAAACTAGGACCAACATAATCAAAGTCATGACTAATTCAGCACCTAACATAAATCTAAATCCGAGTCTAAACATTGATGACAACAAGCTAAGCTCATCGTGTCGCAAAAAAAAGCGCTGTATAACCAAAACTTGTGAAGGTGACTGTAATTAAGTAATTACCGTATAAAAGTATTTAATTTTTCTTGTCAAATAAAAAATGAGCTTACCCTTTAAACAAAAATTTTAATTGGTGTGTATGTAAGAAGAATTTAATGTGTAATATTATTACGCGGCGGATAATTGGCAATTCCATTTAGAATCCTGTGAAAAGAATTGTTTTAGAGCAATTTTCTTTATCCGAGTTCAGTTAATTAATTATTATTATTATCATCGTTAGCGAACAAATTGTTTTTATTTTAGTATGGACAGTTAATAATTCGCGAAAGTATATACAGTGGCCGCGGAAGCCGTGGGGACATCTGGGGACATTAACATTGTAGGATGGGGGAAGGGAAGGGTTTATATAACATGGGGAGATGATGAGGACATCGAACCACCGTGGGGACATTGTCCCTCTTTTGTCCCCACACTTCCGCGGCGCCTGAAAAAAAATGTCGAAGGAATATGGATGAATGGATGGACATCGACATCATAAAAATAAATGTCAACCATTGCCTAAAGCTTGTCGAATTAGGTTGTGCTTGTTATATTCGATATTAAATTGCGTGTAATTTTATCAAATAATAATAGCAGCACCGCAGTTTAGCGACGGTAATAAAATTTTTGACAAGGGTCAACCTTGAGAGTTAATTACATCGCTGGGTCAAATCACAAGTCGGTTCGACACGTTTTAAATGTCGCAGTCGCAGCTGGTTGTCATTGATCATTTGAACCTGAGGTTAGGGTCAGACGAATTATGGATGGATGTGGTCGTGGTCATACTTGGCAAATTTCTTCTTTTTTCACGTAGTTGTTTGTTAACTGATACAGTTTAGAATTATTTAAATATTTACAAATTCACGATAAATAAATCCATCCAATCCACGTTACATAAATAATTAATGAAGGCAAAACTGCCTTAATAAAAATCGTGATTTCATGAAAATCATTCCTCGCCTGCCATGAACTCAACTAGCTTTTAAAAATTGAGTCCTCTTCATTTATTAGTGTAAAAAAACTGGGCTATAAACTACAGGTAAACCACAATTTAAACTTAATTAAATGCCCAAGACATCAACTTGTTGCTTGAGCTTTTGTTAGAAAAAAGTTGACCCAAATTCCTAAATCATCCATTCCATTAAATAAGTAAGTCGCCTCTCCCTCCATAAATAAGAAAATTAATCTAAATTGTATTTTAACTACAACACAAACGCAGAATATCATATCACATCATCCAATTTTCTGTATTATTATTGTACCCTTTTCTTTGTACTTGGTGGATGGATGAGAACCAACAACAGCGTCGAATTACATTACATAACATTATAATGGATCAAATGACTTGGTGATTTAGGAGAAGAAGATTTAGTTTTGTGTCTGATGAAGCTAATTTAATCAGGGGGATTGTCAGGATTAAGGCAAAAAAATTGTGTGTGCATATGGTAAATACAGTGGCCGCGGAAGCCGTGGGGACATCGGGGGACATTAACATTGTAGAATAGGGGAGGGATGGATTTGTATAACATGGGGGAGATGATGGGGACCGTGGGGACATTGTCCCCACCAACGCTTCTGGTACACACACAATTGGTTAAGTATGATGATGACGCATTAGAATTACTTACACACACAGCCCGAAAAAAAGACATTAAAACTGTTTAGAAATATATAATCCAAATTTTACAGTGTTTCTACATCCATTCTGCACAGAAGAAAATACTAAATTATGACTAAATTGAAGCTTTTATTGTGGACCTAATTAATTCGTCCAAAAACGCGGAAGTTGTGTAAGAATGGTGGTCGACCTGATCTTTGGATTTATTTACCCGTTGAGAGAAAAATGGTCATCAAATTTGTTAAGAAAGAAATGAGTGACAGAACCGTAAAGAAATAAGGAATCAAGTAAAACAAATAAAATTCCGATAATAATTGACACTTTGTTGCAAGATAAGTACGTATTTGAATTTCAAATATTTATATAGGCCGAATATTTAATAAATGATTGAAATCAAATTTATTTAAAGAAAGGTGATGAAATTTTTATTTTGTATTCTCAAAAAAAACTAAAGATTGAAGAAAACGAAATAAATATCTTTTTAGGGATCGGATCATTTATGACGAAATTGTGGACAAATTGGAATAAGTATTATTTTTACATTTGATCAACACCTCATTACTAAAACTGAAAATAGTTCTAAAATTATGCAATTCTAGATAATAAAACACGGAACAAAGTCAAAGTTGAAGGTGTTAATAATTCTCTTACAGATTTCATCAATTTCTCGCCTGTACAACAATGGTGGACATGAAAGAAAGATATTCCTGTCAGAGAGCACGCGGTGGGTCTCTAACAAAACAGGGATCCAATTAATACTTCGTTTTTTAAGGGATGATTACACAATCGTAACGCAACTTTTAGCGAATATTTGCCAGATTGTCAGTCATTTGTCACCAACAATGCCAATATACACGACATCACACCACCGCCCTGAATTACATGATGAATGCATTTCTATTACGGACCTCGTAAAAAATGCAATATTAATAAGTGTCTCACTTGACCATAAAAGGACGCTATGCAAACTCATGCAAAAATAATAATGCGGATTTGCCTTCATTTTTTGCATAAATAAATCACCTCTATAATTTATTTTATTGGTCTAAATACATACTTCGTGTTGTAAAGAAATCCCTGGAAAATCGTGCTTTTTTTGGCCGAATATCTACCAATTTGTTTAGTTTACTTAAATATGTAGTTCATTACTAAAACCGAACCAAGGTCTCGTTATGTCATGTAATTTTTGAAGATTAAGACGCGTATTTTTAATGACGTTGAAATTTTTAGTGCCGTTTGTTATATGTGGCATGTTACGTTTCAGTGTTAAAGACCAGATCGTGCACACGAGTTTAAAATCCAATCCACGTCCACTCCACGCTGTTGGATTACCCAATGTCGGATTCAATTTATCATAATTATTTGCACCATTAACACAGAAATTTGACGCTTGACAGTCAAGATCATCGCAAGTAGGTGCAAGACAGACAATTAATAATGTGGGAAGTCAAGTCCGTATAATAATGTTCAAATCACTTTTTTGACGGACAGTTTGTAAATTCGAAAAGTGAGTGATATTTTTTTTCAAAAGTTTTACAACTGCATTTCAAAATTGGCCAGGACATGATCTAAAATCTACATTATTGTACACGCAGCGTAGCCAATTAGTGGAGGTATGTGCATACGCGTATATAAAAAATGATGGATCATTACTACTCACCTAAAAAACACGTGTGTTTTCAACTTGAAGTAAAAAAAATGTGTGTGTGTGTAACATAAAACCTAATGACTCACGACCTTTGACACTTATCACTTCATCACAGAGAGCACAAAAGCTGACCAAGCGTGATTATGTTAAATTGTGCTCGTATACATACATAATGGTCAAACTAAATTGGTAAGGTTGCAAGAATAAGACTTCAAATAGACAGAATATTTAAGATTTAGAAGAATTGTAGCATGACTAAAGTTTAAACGTTGCATATGCATGTATGCATGTATGAGAGGAAAGATTGAATTGCATAAAATAAATGGTACCAATTGTGGTGGGTTTGACTTAATAAACTTTTTCACCACTAAAAGGTCACAGTCAGTCAGCGAAAGAAGGCTGAATATCGCAAGAAAGATGTGGTATTGTGATGATTCAAAATTTCACTGTTCTGGTCACGCTTTTCCATTTTCTTTACACGTTTATCCATCCTTATTCTTCTAGGATTGGGCATTCGGCAATTGAGAAAATGATGATCCAATCCGGCCAAATTTTAGCGTAATGATGAACCCTATTACCTGTTGAATTGAATGGGGTTATTATTACGTAATATTGCGTAAGAAACATGTAAAGATGATACATACATTCATATGTCGCCCTCTTCATTGCTCGTCCAATCTGGCTGATAAGTATTAAAGATAAGTCCAAAGTTCAACCTTTATTTTTAATCTGTAGCACTACCAATTTTAGCTAGTTCAAAGTTAACGATTGATGAAACATGTAATTATTTTACGCTTTTTTGGGGAAGATACTTGCTATACGTGACCCAAAAAAATGAAGGAATAATAAATAATGGGTCCAATTTTATAGAATTTTGGAATTTGTAACGTAATAAATTCATGACAATTTCCATATTTTATTAAAAAGGGAATAAGAGCAAGGTCAGGTTCATATTTGAGAAGTAAAGTCATCATAATCAAACATTTCCTTTTTTAAAGTGGTGTGTTTTTGTTAAAATTTAGTGATATTTAAAAATGTGTGTATAACTTCAAAGGAATAATTAGCTAATTACATACAAAAGTGTAAAGATTGTTAGTTTTGTACGTCACAAAAGCGATTTTTGAATCTGGTTAATTATCTCATTCGACGCAGATGCCTGGTTCTAATAAATTTTGCTACCTGATTTAGCAATTGAAATAATTTATTGAGAAGCATTGCCCAACATTGATATGCAACTTTGTATTTACGTATACATAACTTTCCTGAGTAGTAAATGCTAACCAAAATCGTGCATTAACAACGAAATGAAACTGATCTGGCCCAATTTACTCTACGTTTTTTATACAGATTGGAAATACCAATAAATCGATGAATTATTCCTTTGGATCAAATAGAAATTTAAATCGAATGGATATTTATCACTTCTTTTTTGTCTGTGTGGATGCAATTTCGACCGATTCTTTAATTCCAAAAGCTGTCTGGTCGTGAATCTGATTAAACATTTTTAAAAGCCTGCCTGGGTAGAAGTGCATAAGTAAATCTATTCTAAAAGCATGGTTGGCAGGTGCATAAAGTTATTTACGTAATAAAATGTAACATGATTCAAAATTAGTGTATCGTAATTACACGTTTTACAAGTGTATGTAATGATTTTATTAATTTTTACAGGGACGTTTGAATGCATGAAATTACAAATATTTTTATTAACTTGTCATCATCATAGCTCTCATTTTTATTGGATTATTATGAACACTTTTACTTAGATAATTTATGTTTTACAAGTAGTTTTAAATTCTTTAAGATAAGGATTTTATTAACTAATCTTCCATTAATTTACTTCTCGTCATTATTATTTTGTGAGTTTTGTGAATTGTAACGATTAATCCCCAACCCACTTCTTCCCGTGCCAGCCCCGATTCCAAAACGGGACGCGAAGGGGTAATTATTCACCTGATTATAATTAGAATACGGGGAGAGAAGCGCTTGTGCTGCGAGGTATGGATTTTGATAAGCCCCCAAACCACCAAGCCCTCCGATTATCGGGTACTGAGAATTTTGAACGCCACGGAGCAAAAGTGGATTAATTCCTGCCGCTGATCCGGTAAGCGTCCCAGCTCCAGCCCCGTAAAGTGGATTATTATACAGTTGGGCGGAAAGGGCCCCTTGCGTATAAATGTCGGGGGCAACCCCTCCCAAACCTCCAAGTCCTCCAAAACCACCGCCGAATCCACCGCCAAGATAAGGATTCTGATAACCACCACCGAGTCCTCCTATTGCAGCGTTTTGATAACCTCCGAGACCATTTTGATATCCGCCAAGTCCGTTTTGAAGATATGGATTAAGTCCTCCGCCGAATTGACCGGCACCAAATTGTCCTTGGTTGGAGAAAAGTCCGCCTCCCAGATTTGCCAATCCTCCCGCACCACCCAGCCCTCCGAAAGCCTGGTTTTGATAGAGGAGTGGATTTTGCACGGCGGCGTTCAATGCTTGCGCAGAGGTTTCAGTGTCCTTGTTTTGTAATCCGAGGAAACCGTTGGACCTGTCGGAATCCTGAAGAATTTTCAATTTTATAAGTCAAAAGTCAACCAAGCAAAACAATGCGAAAAACAAGTGATCAATGACCAGAACAAGAATTAAGCCTAACCATAATTAATTATGTAATTATTTTCTCAAGATCATCACCACTAATTAAATTTTTATTAATTAGGCATGCGCAAAACTCACCAGCCCTTGACTGAGAGGATATCTGTTATTTGGTCTTTGTTCCTGATCACCGTCATCGTCCCCACCGTCCGCCTTCCTCTTCCCCCCTTGCTTCCTCCCTTCCGTTAGGGTGACGAGCAGTCCAATGCTCAGCATGACGACGAGATGGCGACGAGACATCCACTTTAAAAAGCAACAAACCGATATAATTGACACGTTATAATTAATTATTTAAATGTTGACAGTCTCGATAAGTGCCTGGTACCGACTTTCGCCGGATATTAGGCTTGATTATTATTTATCCTACCTTTTTTGTAGATGCCATTATTATATTTCCGTCTGAAATCTACTTTATTCACAAAATTGCGTTATTCCAGCACTCTCAACTTTCCACAAGATAGTGACAAGTTTCACCCAAGAAATAACTTTTATACCCTCATTTATTTACTTGTCGACAGTATTTTAATTATGTCCTCAAGCTCCCAGTAAAAAAAGAGACGGAATGACACAATAATATGCCCAAATCTTAATACCTTTCCTGTCATACATACGTACAAAAGTACCTGGTTGACTTTGTTCATAGCGTATCCGTCAAAATAGTGACAGGTCTCTCACTCATGGATCTTTTAACCCCATTTTTCATTGCATCTCATAAACATTTAAACACTAACGATTAACATGTGTGAAAAATACTAATGAGATGCAAGATGAAGCTGAACGAACGTTTGTAAAAGAGAAAATGAAACCAAGTATGTACAAATTCGTAGGAATTTTGTGATGAATGATCACATCTCATAATATGTATCAACCATGACAAAGCAGGTGCATGGGTAAAGTAAATCTCATGTGAGACTTTAAGAAGGCTGGACGTGACTTAATTATGGAATTAATTAAAAGAATAACTAGTCACTAAATTCTTAAACAATTATTTAGTTAGTCATCCACCGTCGGATTTTACTTTTTCATAAATGCCAGCTTTTTACAACAATTACAAAAATGCATATACATACATATTTTTAATTATTTGAGTTTCTTATTTTTTGCAATAATACATATCAAACAACACGTGTTCCTTATTGAATGAATGTCAACTAATGAATATTTACACCTGAGAACGGTAAGAATTCCCCATTTCATTTTAAACCCAAAATATCAAGGAAAGTTTAGTTTACGGAAGTGTATACATACGTTTAAACTCTAAACAGAACTAATAAATTATGCGTGGGTGGATGCGTAATGTCGTAATTTTAACAGCACAACAGCTCGTTTCATTAAATTTGGTTAACAAATTATTTTAGCTTTTTTCCCTTTTATTTCAAGTTGTCTTACGTGTTAACATATTGCATTATAAAAATTTGAAGGAGCATCTGTATCAAAGTCATTTGTAACGTAGTAGTGGCAAAATATTATCAAAAATATTTTGTACTAATATTAGTTAGTACGTTATCTTAGCTGTAATTGTAAATTGTTTGTTGGCAAATAAATTACAGTGCTTGTGCGGAAATATATAGCGAGAAAAAAGAATCGGATTCATGAAATATTTATAAAATTGGTGCGGAATACGGCACAGAGATCAGACAGAAAAAAGGACAGAGAGAAATAGACGATAAGAGCTTATCCGTACAAAAAAATGAGATTCATTTGTCATTCATCAGCAGAGTTCTGAAGATTATGTCAATTTTTTTAGTAGAATCCGCCATGAGCATAACCCCCATGACCAAGTCCACCATATCCGATTGGTCCGTGCGCAAGTCCGCCGTGTCCCGCATAATCACCAGCAAAGCCCAAGGCGGCGTGATGACCATAGTTGGCGACGGGGGCGGCAGCGTAACCTCCGTGGTGACCGACGACGGGTCCAATTCCGTGAGCGTATGAGAGAGCTGCTGGTTTCGCGACGGCGATTGGTGCTGCGGCATATCCGTGTCCGGCATATCCTGGGAATTGAAATGATAAGGTGGTTATCGGGAAAATTTAGAATTTTTTGCTTAAATTTAATACCGTGTCCGTAACCAAGTGGTGCTACAGCTTTTGCGATGGGGGCGGCATATCCGTGCCCGTGCCCGTAAGCGACTGGAGCAATTGCGGCGACAGGGGCGGCTGCGACGACCTTCTTAACGGCGTGGACGGCAGGGGCAGAATTGACAACTTCGGCCTGGAAACCGGTGTGGGGCCCTGGATTATAAATTAATAATAATAAATTCTAGTAATAATACTAAGTAAATCATATTATTTATTATGTATTTACCAGCCACGTAATTGACCTGTTAATCATCAAAATTTGAATATTATTAATTAATCGATATAATAAAAGTGTTATCAATTTGGGTCATACGTACCGTTCGGAGCACGCCATCAGGTTGGACGAGACTGTAGCTTCCCTTTACAACGTCTCCGTCTCGAGTTTCATGAGCAGATTTCTGGTCACCCGTCAGTGCGTCCTTTGTTTTTAAAAAAGAATAATGAAATTATAAAATTCCAAATTATTTTTTGCAAAAATTATTCGCAATGTAACCAAATATTTGGTACCTTAACTCCATAAGAATAGCTGTATTTGGGATAAGCCTGCAAGCCAAGAAATATAATAATATTTAGCACCGCAAAAAAGTTTAACGACCCATTTATTTTTTTAAGAAATTAAATAAAATTAATGGCACCCTTACATAGTAATCTGCCGCATAAACTGCGGGAGCACCGGGAGCCGCATTTGCGACAGCCACGAAGGCCAAAGCCAAGGCGAGGGTGACCTAAATAAAAGAAAACACATAAATAAATACGTTTGCCTTAAAACAATGAAAATACTTAAGGATACGTTTAATCCCTTGGATTAATGGAATTTACACTCATTATCATCATTATTATCTCAATTTAAGTACCTAAATTCATGGCAAGTGCACATATGCATAGGTTTACTCATTAACCACAATTCCGCATCTCGTGACTTTGTTTGAACAAATCAAATAAAAATGTTTTTAGAAACAAAACATTCACGAACAAATCTCACGTTTATTTCAATCGTACATACATAAATACGTAACCCTCACCCCTCACAATCTGATAACTCGAGTATCATTCTCATCATCAAGAACCATGCACATTTTTTGCTATGGGTGCATCATCACGATTTTAAGTAAACGAGTGTAACAATGCAGCAACCAGTGGCCGCGGAAGCTGTGGGGACATTAGCATTGTAGGATAGGGGAGGGAGGGGTTCATATAACATGGGGGGATGATGGGGATATCGGATAACCGTGGGGACATTGTCCCTGTTTTGTCCCCACCCCCCCCTTCCGCGGCCACTGCCAGCAACAATGTATGTACAACTTGCATGCATTCCTTAACGAAACTACTGACATTACTAAATTCCAAATAAAGAAGAATGACACTTTTGCAAAGAAAAAGTAAAATTTGTTTGTACTATTTGTAAACGACCACCTTTAAGTATTTACACATTTAGCAACACGCATTGTTTTTGTGGCAGGATGTGACAGCAAGTAACCAACTTAAGAATATGGTTTCAGGTCTGTTTCTCTCTTCTTTTGTTAATTACAGGTGAGGGTACTGAATATTAGAGTGCGTGCGTACTTGATTATTGCACAACTTATGAGACGACGGATGCTTTGAGAAAGGAAACATTGTTGACACGGTAGGGTTTAGCAATGCTGAGAATTTGTCGTTTTCAGGAAATCATGCAGCCATGCTAATTTGATGTGTCAGAAAAATTCACAAATTTTCACCACATTTTTTAAAAAAGGCTTGAAAACCAATTTCCTACGATCAATCTATTTTAGCGAGTTTCAAATACGTAAACATCTTTTTATCTAGTATCGATGTCTAATTTTTTCAATTTTCAAAATTTATTATTATTATTTTTTAAATCTCAAAATTTTCTTAAAATTGAAGTCTTAGAATTTTTGAAATATCGAAAACCTCAAAATTTTATCCCTAATAAAACCAGTTCAATTTCTTACCTTAATCGAAACCATTTTTCTTCTTTCACTTTCACAAAACTGCACTCAAGTAGCAATCACTGTAAACGATCTAATTCTCACGACTAGCAAACTGGAAGTGTCTGGAAGTTGGTTTCGTTTCTCGCCTTTTATACGCGACACGGACGACTGCACCAAATCGACGCTTTTTATTTTACTCGATGAAGAACTTGACCCTGTCTCCACCATGCCAAGACCACGACAGGAAATTGGCTGGTACTATTGTTGCCCATTTATTTCTCGCTTCTTGGCTTGGCTTGGTCGTCTCAACTTTTTCATACCAAATCCAATCCCCACGTTGAAAAAAATGGGGAGTTATTTACATTCACTTTATCATTCCGTCGACTCATTCCTTACGTTACGTAGGGGAAGCAACAAAGTAACAAAATCAGATTGTACATATGTAAATAATGGCATCTGTAACATGTAAATATGTAAATAAGTGTGTAAGTAAAAGGTACAAAATATGCAGGTATGCAGTGGCCGCGGAAGCGTGCGGACAGAGGGACAATGTCCCCACGGTTGTTCGATGTCCCCATCATCTCCCCATCTTATCTAAACCCCTCCTTCCCCCCATCCTACAATTTTAATGTCCCCACAGCTTCCGCGGCCACTGCATGGATTGCATCATATTAACAGCATTAAAAACTTGTATTATATTATGTGCATCCTAGTAATAAAAACTTGACTTAATTTACTGACTCGCAAGTAATTTAATGGGTTTTGAGAAGTCCCACTGCTCAATGTAAAAATAATAAAATATTTGTGTCCAAGGCGTACCTACGAATAAATAAACTATACGCGTGCATATCATATCATATCGAAAACATAACATAAGCAACTAATTAACAGGAGGATAAGAAGAAGGAGAAGGCCCTGCGAAACAGTACAAAACTTGAACCAAGGAACAATTTATTACGCTATTATTACCATTTCTTCGTCGTCTTTTGTCTTGAACTATTCATTCACGCTGGGTTTTGGTGGGTATGAAGTAAGATGTAAGAATGCATAAATAATATTAATTTACTTACGAATACCAGCAAAAAACTGACAACAATACAAAAATGATACTTATTACTCAATGTCTATTTTAAAGGTGGTAATTGCAGTATCAAAAATATAGTAATAATAATTACACTCGCCATTACCAACCACGACCACTACCTCGATGCAGGCCGGATACTTTTATGTATGTATTTATGTGAAGCAAAGGAAACCAATTATGTATCCGTATGTATGCATATTACTTGCATAAAATTCATGACAATGTGCATTTCCACGTATTGATAAAGTACAAATGCATGGTTGGTAGTAATCTATAGATGATATTTAGAGGGCGGATATGTATTTATTTTCAAGTTTTATATTGGATGACGACCGACGCGGTGTGTTGGCTAACTCTTGTGGGTCAAAAAAATTTCAAAATTTTTTGGCTTTTATTATTTATTGGCTTACGATTACTTGTGGAAAATGAATGAGTAATAAATCATACGAGGAAATCCACGTGGAAGGAGAGCATGGTTAAGAGAAAAAACGTGATTTGTAATTGGAATTGAAGAACAAATAAAATAATCCAAATGCTCTTGAGTTTTGTTGAGTACCTATTAATTACGTCGTCACAGATAGTAAAGAATGGATGCAATTTGCTTACCTTATATTTATTTGGGAAATAATGCAACAAAAGAAAAACGAGTGGATTGGACTTTGTTTTTTCTCGAGATGATAATAACGATAAATAAATACGGTTTCAAGAACAAGGTGGAGTGGAAGTACTCAGGATAAAAAATAATGGGCTGATTGATAGCAAGCGGCTTTATTTATTGAGCAGTCACTCACCAATTGACGTGAATCGATCAATTTTACATAAATAGAAAATCGTTTAAGAAAATAATAATGTAAAATGTTAGCATTGATATGTTTATTTTTGGTCGTCGTGCAGTAAAAGTCGTGAGTTTTAAGGTATACAAAAAGCAGAAAAGTTGGACAACCGATGACAATTTTAACGTGAAATCAGACTTTTTACTCATCCAAGATGACAGAAAAGTAGATCCATACATAATTTCTTGCGTAACGCTGATGACGATATTCTGTACCATACGGTACCCTTCTCCAGTTGAAAATGCCACACCCACCCCCTCGGAAATATGTATATGCAAATGAATACGTACCAATTAACGTTGTATGTGCTGTTCCTTTGCATGAATAATGTATGATTCCAGGACAAAATTAAACCATTGTTATTTCGTGATACATATTGTTCAATTGGGCAATACTCGTGATTAGGCATGGTTTTTATGCTGCATAATTCGTCGTGGTTTGGTTTGATAATACGAACAAAAATCAAGTTCTTCTTTTTCACACGAAGTAAAGTCAGCCTCGCAGAAATAGGAAGATTACCTATTTACGTGATTTATGGCCTCCTCACGACATTGTTAAGAAAATGTTCATTCGATTATTGATGGCTTTTGCTGGACGGGATGAAAATAAGTGCTGCGTCATTATTGTCAAAGAACGAGAAAAAAACGAGTACCTTGTTTGTCGATTGATCGTTAAATTAGTTTCGGAAAGGAGTCGATTTTCTTAGGTACACGATATGTAAATACTGAGAAATCTATGAATACCTATAATTTAAAAGTTTCTGAATATAAAAAAATAAAGAGATATGGACGTCCTATTCAATCTCTAAAAAAATGTGATTATCAATAAATATGTAACATGAAAACATCCGATTTTCTTATTTACACGATAAATACAGAGAAATCTATGTATTTATACCTATAATTTAAAAATTTCTGAACATTTTCAAAAAATAAAGAGACATCGACATCCTATCCAATCTCTAAAAAAATGAGACAATCAATAACTATTTAAACACATATGAAGACATCCTTCATCCCGCAATTAATACCGCCAAGGAAAATAACACACCATGAATTAAGTAAGTCGACCATTAAATTTCTAATTGCAATGTCCCCACTCGTATTATTTAATAAAGCCTAAATAAAAGTTCTAAATAGTTTTTCCCTCACTCAACATCGTCCTTTTAAAGCGAGTCGTAAAAACTGTGGCGTTCATGGCATGGCGAGTATTAAGTAAGTCCACGTCGTGGTGTGAGAATAATGAAAAAGTCGTTCTCATTCCTTTACAGGGTAGTGCGAGGCCTTATCGATTATGCAAAATTTAATTAAGCCTTTTAAACCAAACAGCAGTTAAACGAGTTCACACGACGGACGAAGCAAAGAAAAAAATGTGCAACAGTTCAATGTTTTCTTGGGCATGAAACTTGAGCAAGTCTTTTACTTAAGTAAGTAGATCATCGTTATGCAAATATTTAAATATGTAATGAGCATGATCTCACAGCACAAGAGATAATAATCAACTTGAATTGATTTGATTAATCATTGATCAGTTTCCATTTCTAAAGAATTTTTACTAAGTGAATTCATTAATAAATTGGTTTGTTTTGTTACGTAATTCCGTTTTTATTCATGGTTCGTTTCGTTTTGTAAAGGAGAAGAAGACGGAAAAGTTGAGGGAGGAACATTGAGAAATCGAGAGAAGAGCATAGAAAAAATAGCTCAGTTTTAGATTAAGTAACGAGTAAAAAGATAAGGTAAAGTAAGAACGTTAAGATAAGAGGTTATCACAGACTAGGTTTTAGGTCACAGACTGTAACAAGACTATTAAAGTCGGGTAGAAATACTGAACATAAACTCTGCGAAGAAAAATAGCACCATTCTGTTCTTATCTACAAGCTAGAAATCTTTGGCATCTTGGAAGAAAGTAGGTTTTCACCGGAAGACAGACTTTTTAAGATGGCAACAGACCAGACTTACACGTTTACAGGAAAGTTTTAGTGAAACAAGAGTGAAAAAAGTTGAAAAATAAACTGTAAATAAACTTTGCATACAAAAATACTCTGTAAAAACGCTAAGTGTATGGAAATAAGTGTAATTGGTGGATAACAAATTGCATGCATGTTTCATCCCTGTCAAATTCTTGGTTGCGTATCAATCCCCGGACGAGAGAGTCAAATATGTGGAAATAAAAGTCTCTGTTGCTTGATGTTAAATTATTTGCTGAACATTTTCAACAAGAAGTGAACCCCTCCTTTAAAATGTGGATGTTAATATTTGCAGATTTTTGCAGATTTTTTAATAGTATCCGTGTCCACCGTATCCGTGTCCGTGGTGGACGATGGGTGCGGCGACGACCTTCTTGACCGCGTGAACTGCAGGGGCTGGGCTGTTGACGACTTCCGCTTGAAAACCGTGAACGGGGTCTGAATTTCAAAATTTAAAGAATTCATTAAAGAATAGATCTAATTAAGGAATTTTAAAAATCTCCTTTTCTTAATGGTATAAGTAACAAAAGAAATACCAGCGACGTAGTTAACGGTTCTGTATAATTTAAAAAAATTAGAGGAATTAGAATATTTACTTGTTAAAAAAATTACCGTAAGAAATATGCATGAGAAACTGACCTGTAGACACCGTCGGGTTGTAAAAGACTGTAACTTCCCTTCACAACACCACCATCTCGGGTTTCTGAAAAAAAAAATATTTTTGAAAATTATTGCAAATTTCAAATTTAAATTTTTTGTCTCACTCACCATGAGCCGATTTAACATCCCCGGTGTGATAATCCTTCACTCCATACCTTGATTTAAAAAATAATAATAATAAATTTCCCAAAACGAAAACGTATTTCCATTAAATGAAAGAAGTTTGCGTATATTACGAGTATTGATATTTGGGGTATGCCTGTAACAAAAAGTGTCAAAACGTTAATAAATTCACTCCTACTTTCACTTTCCTTCACACAAAAAATCTCGAACTTACATAATAATCGACATGTTTGACTGGAGCGGCGTACGCGTGATACCCGTGACCTGCATGACCATGACCCTCATAACCCCCATACCCTCCGTGGTACTGGGCAGAAACGGCAACCCCAAGGGTAACCACGACGGCTAAAATGCACTGAAATAATCACACAGACACGAATGAACGGGGATGATAACACCTTATCAATCACACTTTTTGAATATTTCTCACTACTTACGGTCTTCATTTTGAAATATTTGGCTTGATTTCTTCTTTGTTGGTGGTGAGAGCGTTGTAGATCAGTGAATGAGGGTGAAGGAGTATTGTCCACCTTTTATATGGCCTCGTGGGGTTCCCTTAGAGCTGCCTTGGTAGTTAGTTAGTCACCTGAAAACTACGTCCCCACGCACGTTGGCGAAAATTATAAGTCAACTTGATTCTTATTAACCTGAAATAATTGGAATTAACGATGGACGGATATAAAGCTACGTGCTTCGGGAGGAATCGAAAGCAAATCAATATCTCAAACTGTGCAACAAAGGATGGATTGTTGTCCCAGTAAAGTTAAGTGTTATGAGATTAAGACATTGTATAAATGTACGTTAAGTAAGTAAAGTTGCTCTATTTTTTTATTCCCCTCGCATAAAAAAAGAACCTGATTAAGTGAAAATTATGTTGAGGTAAATACCTACGTAGTATACGCATGACGCAAAATAAATGCATACCTAACTAGATTCTAGCTTCGAGACATGATTAAACAAGGACTTAATTGTGTTGGTTAATCAGGTTGCATGATGTTTATTGAAAAAATGGCACTTGTCATCGGCTACAAAATTTTGCACATGCAAATAAATAAAAGTATGTATATAAAAATTTGCAAAAATTTTTCTGGAATTTTGAAAAATTTTGAATTTTGATAAAAGATCTTGACCAATAATTACTTAAATCTTAATTAACATAAAATATTGCACTTGTCATCTCATTTCATCTGCTACAAAATTTTGTACATGAAAATAAGCATGCTACATAAAATAAAAGTTTGCATATACAAATTTGTAAAAAACATTACTGGAATTTTTTAATAGAAGATCTCAACCAATAATTACTTGAATCTTAATTAACCTAAAATATTTCGATTTCCCAATAATTTTCCTCCTTTAGCATAGAAGAAGAATGACATGACAGCGACTTTGTGAATTTATGCAGAAAAAATAAATAAAAACCACGATTTGCGGACACCCCATCGTCATCCTCACAGTCAATCTTACAGAGAAATATTACTTCACAACTTAACCGAGATTAGCCTGGGAATTAGGCTTTTTAGTTCAATCTTAATCACGTTGCGTATCTATCTTTCTCGCGTCGGCATCCTATTATTTTCCATCTTTGTTGTGGTTATTTAAGAGCAGGAGTAGATTTTTGTATGTGAAAAGGCAAATTAATTTAGCATTATGGGACATGACATAATTTTTGCCGAGACTGACGACGGACGAAGGACTTGCTACATAGCATAGTATTGAATGTAAATTAATTTTGTATGTACGTCCAGTTTGTTAAACTAGGCTTTAATTATGCACGATTTGCATATGTAACTAAATAGTTAATTAGGTAGCAAATTCAGTTATGTTATATATTTTCAAACCCAAACTGTTGTTGTTATTAGATTAGAATTTTGTTAACTGGTCACAAAAAAACCGACAATAACAGGTTTGCGAAATCGTTGCAGCACATTTGACTCGGAAAGTCCCGTGCGCATGGGTGTAATAGTTTTAACAAATGTTGACAAATTCACTTATCATGACGTTATCGGTACCATATTAATTAATTGATTGTCACCATTTCATTAAATTTTGACAACTCGTTTATGCAATTATGTACATATTATCATGGTCTCCAGGATAGAAAAAGCAGCACTTTGTACTGACCATCATCCGATATTGTAAAAAAGCTTATCAACCAATCAATCAATTGAATAACAGAGCAATACGCACCGCCTTTATTTTTTATGCAATTAAAATCGTTCTGATGTCAGCAATGTCCTTTATCTTTCTCTTCTTTCATAAATATAAACACATTTTGCGTCAAAGTCACACTCAGTCCATACATTTCTTCAAATTAAAATTTCGCACGTGTTACTTACCGTAACACATTTTTCCCTTTGGCACAATGTTATCCACAATAATTCTTGTAGTAGCCGTCTTCCTAATATTAAGATTCCTCTACAACAGACGCTTCAACTACTGGAAGCGACAGGGTATCCCAGAACGCCCCAGCTATTTCGAGGCGTACAATTTAAACAAGCACTCCGTAATGACATGGGATTCAAAAAATTATGAAGCTTTAAAGGACCACAAGTTCGGGGGAATGTGGGAAATGCTGTATCCCGTCCTCTACCTAAGAGATTTAGACTTGATTAAACAAATCTTCATTAAAGACTTCCACCACTTCGTTAACCGTCGCACCTTCCCGACAAACAATGAAAAAGATCACACCAAACTCATGCTCTCCTTTCGAGAGACCGACGACTGGAAAGAATTACGAAACATTCTCACCCCAGGATTTTCTACGGTCAAGATGCGCCGACTTTTCACCCTGTTCGACTCCTGCGCCAAGAGATACATGGATTATTTACATTCAAAATGCGACTCTCCGATCGAATTTCGAAACGCCATGGGAAAATATACGATGGCCTGCATCGCCGAATCGGTATTCGGAATCGATTGCCACGCCTTTGGCGAACATCAAACCGAGTTTTTCAAAATGGGGAAGGCCTACATGGATTTTAGTCCTTGGCGAGTTTTTAAACTAATGTTTGTCTCAAATTATCCGAAAGTAGCGGATTTTTTCGGGCTGAACGTCTTCCATCAGGACGCGGACACCTACCTGACCAAAGTTGTCGAGGACGTTTTACGCAGTCGGAAAGGGGTGAAGGGAAATCATAACGATTTTCTGGAAATCATGCGAGAAAATTCGGAAGAACAAGAACACGGACAAAAAGTCTTGTCGGAACATGAAATCGTGGCGCAATGCATGAATTTCTTTGCGGCAGGGTCAGACTCGATTGAAACGGTGCTGATTTGGGCGACGTATGAGCTTGCGAAGAATCCCGATATGCAACAAAGGCTGTACAAAGAGGTGAACGAAGGGATGACGAAGAATGGTGGGGAGTTGACCTTTGACACGATGACGGATATGGAATATTTGGATATGTTCGTGTCAGGTATTTACATAAGTAGACATATTTAGTGGCAAAAGGGTCATATTAATTGATTTTTCTCACTGATTTAGAATGCCTGCGGAAATATCCACCCACCATGCGAGCTGAGCGACGCTGTTTAAAAGATTATCCCGTTCCTGGCACGAAATACGTCGTTCCGAAAGGTTTATTCGTACACATTCCGATTTATCCAATTCATCACGACCCAATGTATTGGCCCGAGCCGGAGAAATTTGATCCTGAGAGGTTTACGAAGGAAAATAAGAGTGCCAGAAACCAGTATTCTTACCTGCCCTTTGGCTACGGTCCGAGAACTTGCATAGGTAAAAATTCGGATACATAATATTTGTAAGAAGGGTTAATCATCTCATTATTTTCTGTTATCCGGATTTTTACAGCTGGACGATACTCCATCGTTGAGACGAAAATATGTCTGGCTCATTTAGTACAAAACTTTGTAATTTCCACGTGTGAAAAGACCGAACCTAAACCGATTTATTTTCATTTGAGCTTAAAACCTGTAAACGGTACGTGGCTTTCACTTAAACCGAGGAAGCGTTGATTTCAACATAAATATTTCTGTTAAATTTTTAATAAACTCTTTAATAAACCCTAATTTTGAATAATGGAATCTAAATAATTATCATATTTAAATATGAGCCCAATTAAGTCGTCGATTGCTAATTAGCATTATTTTTGCAAATTCCTTTCCACCTAAAAATTTCTCACTAAAATTTTTACACATTTACGAAACACAAAATCGTTAAAAGGCAAAAATTCCTTTCTTTAATGCATAATAATGCATCGTATTAAATTTAAATTGCATCCATTCTGTCGTTGTTGGTTGTACGTAATTATGTATCAATTTCACATTCATGTGAATTTGTTCTCACCCACGAGACACGGTTTTGCTCGTAGCATTATTTATTTCCACAAAAAATTCATGTATGCAGCAACAGTGTGGACTTAATTTCGATGCTTTTTTTCTTTCTTCCCTTCGTAAATAAAATGCAAGACTTATTATCACTTTGTACTTACACCTTACCTAACTCGGTATGAGGTTGAATTGATACATAATAAAGTATTGAATTAAAAAGGGAATGAAGGTGTTGTCAATAAATCAAATCGAGTGCAAGTCAACTGCAATACTCGCATAATGCATAATAATAAAATGCTTTAAAAGGGGGATTAAGTAAGAAGAAATAAAAAGACAAAACCAGGCTAATTAACATTTTTATTGGAATTGTGCAATTTTAGATTGGTAATCAGAATTGTATCAAATTTTGTCAATTTCAAAACCAAAGACGAGGATTAAGTTTAGGAAAAAAGGGAATTGTAAAAAAACAATGATGTCCAAAATAAAAACTTGTGTGACCAACTACATACGTACGTAATCAAGACCAAAAAGGAGTCGTGTGAGGTGAAGGGCGAAGGGCAATGTTGACCATTAACCATTATTTACACCAATTTTCTAGCAAATTGTGAAAAAATTGGGGAAAAACACTCAATTCATGCCTATCAAATTTTTGCATGCGAATTTGTGTGCAGATATTTATTTGCATTTTATGCATGTGCTCTGATAATCCATCCTTCACCCTATCATCACCTCAACACTAATAAACTTCACATTTGAGTTAACCCTTTGTTAAATTGGTTAATTGAGTGTTTATATGTGTTTTTATGTATTTTATGCCACTACTCCTTCAAGGCACAGTTTACTCATTTATGTATTTAGTTGATTTAGACAGTGAGTCATTTTGTTTTGTAAGATGCACGTTGTTGATACGATAAAATTATTCTGCAATAAAGCGATAATTCAAAAATACTGCAAGGCCATTGTTAAAGTTTGATTATATATTTTTGATGTAGCACGTGTCACTATCAATTTGTAAATATAAGTTAATCGTATCTTTCGAAGTACCAAAAATGTACTTCAAAATTCATGTGTGCAATGCATGACATATTTGTATCATTTTTACATTTTTCGAGGTACTACATATAATTCACAGATTTATGTACTTTTCAAGTTGAGAAAAATTATGTCCAAATCAAATTGCTACTTAAATATTTTTGGTGTAGATTTAACCTACACCAATTTTTTACAAATATTTACTACATTTTGCATTGACCACTGTCATTTTCATTTCTTGACTTGGATTTAGTTCTTGTACGCAAAAAAAGCAATGGCAACAACCGTCCTAGCCCTACTTAATTCTTGGGTTGACGATACTTATTTATTAATATTGAACTGTTACGTATACACTTTTTACTCCCTATATGTACCCTTATTGAGTCATATAACGCTTACATAATGCCAAAAAAACACGTGCGTATGACTCGGACAAGGCGGAATTGTTGTACATAAATATAGCCCTCTTTATTTCTTACCTAGTAGTTTGAGACAATCATAAATTCTTCACAGATATTTATATGCAATTGTCACTTTTTGCCACAAAAAAAGTTCATAGTTCATAATCACACTACATACATACGAGTAAGGTTAGACTGCAGTTTATGTATTGGATTTGGTTTTGCCATTCATTCATTTCATGCGTAATTCTAATTAGAGTAGTAAGTAATTCTTCCATTAGGACGACGGATATGTCATTGTGCTCTTATTTAGTGCTGGTATTAAATTAACATTGCACTTCCATTGTGGTCTGGTCGGACAAGTAAGTACGCAAAAAAAGGTGTGAACCTCATTCTTCATTTCATCACAAATACTTAATAGATGGTGAATACGACCATCACGAATACCTGTTAATGAAACGAAGGTAAAAATAGAGCAGACAGGTAGAATTGGAAAGAAAAAGAGGGTAAATATTTTCACATGATAAGAATAGCGAGGCGCTTACGCAGTAATGAATTAATAATGCAATGGTAATAATAATTCAAGGCACTGTTGACATTCAGTCCTTATCAATTTGTGTAGTGAAGTGATGACATAATGAAATAGGACTATTTTGCAATTTTGTAACGAACAATTAATATTTATTCATGAAATGAACGAACGAGGAGTAGTTTAGAAGAAAGTAATTGTTCAATGAAAAGTGAAATAAGTAAGCAAATACATAAAGTTAAGCGGAATACTTGTAGAAACATGAGCGTATTTATGGTGACATTGATCTGATTTATATTTTTATTTACTGGCACGACACCACAACACGACAGAAAGTACTCTGTTTCATTGTTGGGTTTGAAGTTTCAATGCAAACAATTAACAAAAACAATTAAAGACATCGGAATTCTGATGGTCTTGTTATTATTTAGCCCATTTTACTTGGTGGACAATTTGGACACAGTGGCCGCGGAACAGAGGGGCAATGTCCCCACAGTTATTCGATGTCCGCATCACCTCCCCATGTTATACAAACCCCTCCCTCCCCCCACCCTACAATGTTAATGTCCCCAGATGTCCCCACAGCTTCCGCGGCCACTGTTTGGACACGTACGCTCTTTTCCGTACCTTTTTTTGATGTGAGGGTGACAAAAGTTTGCTATACGACGGACGCTACATGAGATATTTCTTTGTGCATACGTTTGTTCATGCCGTGTAAGAAAAAGGAAGTTTATTCATCCTTTAATTTTTTCATTTTCATTTTCATTGTGCCAAACCACATAAGCCTTCCGCCCCGTCATTCCCATCAGAAAAAAAAGACTAAATAATAATAAATTGGAGTAAAAGTACGTATGTTGACTAGTTTGCTGACCATTTGACTAGTTCTTCTTACGTAATCTCGTCACAATTAGGGAGACTTTGTCAAATTAATTTATCACAGCAGCAGCAAGCTTAAGGGAACAGATGTTGCTTTATATTATTATTTTGTAAAAGAAGAATGGACAATGCTCGCTAATTATTAATTTACTGCGTCCTATTTTAAATCCTTAATTAATCGAGCATTTTATTTTGCCCCGTATAAGTGAGTTGACAAAGAGTGCATGCAAGCAATGCAATTATAGATTCTCTGGCTGCAGTACATATCAAAAGGATAAGCTGTAAAAGTAGTAATAGTAAGTGGGTAAAAGTAATTAACGACTTTTGTGCATTTTAATGCGTGGATAAAGCTCCGAATCGAAAAATTAAGAAATATTTAAATGGAACATATTTTCCTTGCTCGGGATTTGCTAGACTTAAGCGACCAAATATGAAAAATTAAAATTTTGAAATCAATTTAAATGATTTTCCTTGCTCGGGATTTGGTAGACTTAAGCGACCGAATATGAAAAATTAAAAGTTTGAAATTAAATTATAACAGGAGATCATACCGACTTCTGACCAACTTGACTTTTACTAAAAAAAATAAAAAAAAGTCAGTCTGAAGATGTTTAATAAATTCCTGAATTTCAAGTTGCTCTCTATCTATTTCTCCTAAATACAGGGTGGTTAAAATGTCACGCTACAATGGGAAATTTTTTGATGGGAAAAACCCCTAAATCTCCATTAGTTACAAGATTTTGGATTGAGATTTTAATAATTATTATCAAAACTGATGGAGCATTGATGACGAAATTCTTAAAATGTTGAATTTTAGCGATAAAATTTCGGTAACTAATGGAAATTTACGAATTTTCCCCATCGAAAAATTTTCCATTGTAGCGTGACATTTTAACCACCCTGTACATTCCAAATGCTTACCGTATGGTCACGATGAATTTCAAAACGAATAATTTGCAACGTTTAATAATCAGGCCAATTTAATTTACATACATTTAATTTTATGCCTTAATCTCACAGTAATTTATTAATTTGACGTTATTCTGATCTGAGACTGAGCCGGTAATTTGACTTGAGCAATATTATCTAAGAACGTTATACGCTCAACAAAAGTAACAAGATGTCAAATAAAATCGTGTCCTGAAGTAATTCCTCCAAGGACGTTGGATTGCCGTTTACGTGCACTTTTACAATTGCTAAGAAAGGGTTTGTTGAGTTGATCACTTTGTGAACGTTGAGACTAGGATTTTTCCATAATTGTTCACGTAAAGGTTTAGTTATTTTAAGGCTGAAAAGTTTCGGGGGCATATTACGTAACTTGATTAGTATGTAGAGTAATTTGCAAACTATATACTTAACTAAATAAGGCAAATAAATCTCCAAATTCGCCATGTCCACTCCTTGATTAACTTGTCGCATTACTTATCTTTGTAATCATCGGGTTTACATGTGCAAATAATTTGCATACGAAAATTGTTGTCTTAAATGCATATTTTTGTCGTAATAACAGGGTTATTTAGTAGCATATATTTAGTAACCGTTGCTGCACTGCAACTGCAAGTCATGTGCATCAGGAAGAGTAATTAATAAATCGTCCATCAAACTGAATGAGCGAAGGAAATTAGGCCATGATTTTGATATTGAATTTAAATAAGGACCCAATTTTGCACACTTTTTTGCAAAAAAAAGTTGCAATTACTAATCAATAGATTGGTTAAACGGACTACAGGATAGATATTTCACAACCTTGATAATCTAATCCTGATCGCTAACCACGACACGACATCCACACATACTAAATTTTTATGTCGTGCCATTCTGTACCAAACTAACTGGTCAATATTCTGCAAATTTGTGTCTAAATCGAATCCTGTGTGTGTAATAAAGTTGATTAAACGTCAACAAAACAAACGTATCAATACGTGCTTGTTAAAGTAATAATGTTAAAAATGATCTAAAACCTGTCAAACTTTTTCACTCGATAAAGTCATTCTTTTTCTTGCATCATTCATGAACTGAACTGCATGCGTGTAAGGCTGACACTAATTTTTGCAAAAAAAGACATGACCAACGAGTATTTACTTAATTCGATCTGCCATTTAACTCAGTTAATAAGTACTGTACTTATTAAACAATTAATATTTGTGGGAGAAAAATAACGAGTAATTAGGGATGAATTAGTACATGTGTCATGAAAATGTTGTGTAAGTCAAGTGCATGATAAATTCCACGGCTAATTACTAATAAGTACGTCTTTCTTGGTGAGATGAGAACATGGGATGAGAATTTTTGTGATGATGACGAAGCAGTCAAGAAAAGCGACCAAAAAGACCTCGACATCGACTTTTACGAATCAGTGAACAAGTAAAAAGACCAAAAATGGTAATTTTAAGCATATTTGAAGCAATGAGAAGGATATAAAATTCGGCTATTTTAATTTTATTGATTTATATTTATTGCTCTAATTTCACTATTTGTTATAATCAATTGTTGCATAATTTTTATAGAGTTACTTAAAATTATAATAAGTCTTTAAAACAGGAATTTTTAAATTATAAATAAGCTAACATTTATTGATTATCAATTTTTTTGAATCCAGTAAAACACACAATAATTTTACCAATGATAACATTTCGTCAAATTAAAATAAGTAGTAAATAAAATAACTACATGATTGGATACATGATAAATGATTAAAAACAACAAATTTTAAAATCCTGGAGAGAGGTAGATGCTTATCATCATCATTCTTTTAAAATAAAATCGCCCCAAATTTGTCAAGGTACTCTATAAATCACTAGAATTCATTGATTGTTGGCTGCTTACTGTCCCCTAATCTGTGTAACATTTAAACTAACTAATTTTTAACAGTCAACAATTAACTCTACTTCTGTTAAATATATTTAGTTACATATATTTCTGCAAACTACGCTCTTTAACATCGGATAGTATTTTCATCTAGTTTTCGAGTATTTATTTAATTTGAATATTTATGAGCTGAAGATAAAACTAATATTCTACTGGAAAAAGCAGTTTTTTCACTAGTTCACCAATCGAATCGCTATAGGCCAACAACAACGTTTAAAACGCCAAAAAAACGTCCCCTCACAAAATGCATAGTCAAACTGTAGTTTGACAAAGTGAGATCAAAGATCACAATTAAAAAATATAGACAAATTATTTTCACATAAAATGTTGTAATGTTTCTTGGTGGTGTTTGTTTTTTAATACTTCGAAAAATGGAAAGAATATTAAATTTTTTTTCGAAGTGTGATCGATCTCAGGAAATTTTATCCTTTGATGGAACAAAGTCCATTAGTTTGCACTGGGAGTAGGAGCAGAGATGGTGACATGACCGGAAGGGTCGAATAAGGGTCATTGACCTCATAATAACGACTTTATGGTCATTCCATCTCCTTCTCCACGTTCTTCTACCGGGTTCAAGGTTGACTTGTTGTTGCTGGCGAAAATGATGATGATAATAACGTTTCTTATCATCATAAAATGGCTGTTGTTGTTCTCTAAAACCCAACCATTTTCTATTCTTCTTTGAGTGGAATCTCACAAGAAAAAGAGTGAAAACGTTGTAAAAAACAAGATGAGAAAATGTTTGGAACAATATTAAAAAGAAAAGAATCGCGTACAAAGTCTCGACTGCGGCTTTGGTATTTTCGAAGTCATTTTGTCTCACGAAGTAGCACCTTTTCTTGTCATCATAAGTGTAGTAACTCGTATTCTCGTTGGCATTCCTTAAAACTAATAAATTATCTGGTAAAGTATTTTCTACCATTGGAAAATGGTACGCGTCGTTGTTTCCGTAAATCTCAATTTTAGCAGTGTCTTCCGTTTTTCCGTTATTATTATGCTTTCCAGTTTCTCCCTTGAATAATAAAACTTTAAAGTTGTGACGAATCGTGTCGAGATAAGAATGATTAAAAAAGTAGGATTGAAAATTGAGATCAGTGAAAGTAAAGGAGAATGAATTAACCTCGTTCTGGATTAACGGGTGGAAAATGAGAGAGTAAAATAATTCTAAAAAAAATTCCGGGTGGTGAAAAGACGTAGATCCAGCAGAGTTATGACTCTTCCCCAGCAGCAGAAATGATAGGTGAATTTGATTCCAGGATAAATTTTGGTGACCGGAAAGAATGAGGAGAAAAAGGTCCATGGACAAGTCCGAGTTGGTGCCGGAAGTGGTGCCGGGGAAAAAGAGTCCTCAGCTAAGGACACAATTAGTGAGTTATTTTATGGAATAAATTAGTATTAATTAAAATAATACCTGGGGAATTTAGTGTACAGCGCGTAAGTCAGGTCATAGTTTTTAAATCGACAAAACTGACTCTCCATTCGGAGCCATTCCTTGATGGCGACGAGACGATCAATTTCCGCGTGAGAGTTGTATGCCGAACTTGCCTATAAGTGATAATGTTACATAATTATTGCAAATGCAGTTTTAAATGGTGGAAATTCCATTAAAAAATTCCTGTCTACCTTGTTGGCAAAAACAGTGACGACAAATTTTCCAGGGCGAAAGGTGTCCAAAACACGACCAATAACGTCCTTGTAGGAGCATTGGGATGCATTAGTTTCGAAGCTGACGTAGGAAAATTCTTCCTCCGGAGTTATATGGATAGTCATGTAGGATCCCTGAAGTAATTAATGCAAAAAATTCAAATTTTAAAATTTTAACCAATTTAAGGAACACTAGTTTAACTGCAAATCGAATGAACTACAAAAATTAGTGTGGATAAAATAAAAATTTACAAAAACCGAGCCTTCAAAACCAAAAATCAAGCAAAAATAAATAAAAACCAACTACGATTTGTCTCTTGAAATCAACAAAAATTAGAAAAGTTTGTACATCGATAACTTACATCAGAGCTTTGATTTTCATTCTGGATCGAAGCATGAAAGTAAATCAAGGAATTTTATGAATAATATCATCATTACTTTACTTCAGGCAAAGTTTTAAGAAAATTTATCGAATTACTGCATGAATTTAAGTATTTCTGATAAGTACAAGTTATCATTTGACTAAGTAGCCATTTACTTACATTTTTGAAGATTCCATTCATGGAGTAGCCACAAGGGTCGAATAGATGCTCGTTGATAAGTGCGTTTGGAATGATTCTGTCAATTCCCGACTTCTGCAAAATATTCATTTGACAAGGAAATTTACTAAAGCTGCTCAAGTTTCTCTTATCTTGACCATTAAAATTATTATGTATAATCGTACCAGAGTAGCTTCTTGTCCAGATTTACAAACTGCAATTGAAATAATTTGATTGATGTGCAATGGAAATTTACATCATTTTCACATAATAAATGTGTAATAAGACCTTCTTTGGTAAAGATCCGCATCACGCTCGGGTCGAGCTCGGTCATCAAAACTTCCAAAGTTTGATCAGGTTCCAAATTTCCGCGACAATGTTGCATTCGATTTCCGAGTGAGTTGACCGTGTACAAATACCAACAGTCACGATTCACGCTGCCGAGACAGTAGGCTGACCCGTCTATAATTAAGAATTGCCATAAATATTTTATAAAATGTCCTGAAAATAATAAATTTCGAAAAAACGAACCATGAAAGAAAGTGTCCAACAGATCCACTTCTTGGTCAAAATGGCGGTGTGGGGACCTTTGAAGTTCTGGCTTTTTGTAGTTTTTTCGTGAATAGAAGACATCCTAATTTTTTTTTTAATCATTTAATAAAATGGAGACCAAAACTACATAATTTTGAAATCTTACTTCAACTTCGTCAAACCCAGCATATTTTTTGACCAGGACGAGCAGATTTTTCATGCAGAGGAGTGGCGTCGTGGTGCCGCAAGTTTTGAGGATAAAACGTTTCTTGGAAACAAACAAACTGCTCTCGCTGCAAACACATAACGAAAAGTGGGATTGCCTCCATTAAGGAAAAATTCGTGATATATTTTTATCAGAAATTCGTTGACTAGCACGACCAGCCATCTATTAATTTTTATGTATTACAGCCATAAAGTTGGAATCACTCGCCATCATTATCTTGTTTTCCATCACGTAAAGAATTCAAAGTTTGACTTGAAATGCAAGACTGCAAACGAATGACTGCGAGTTAAATAATAAATGTCTAGCTCCACTAATCACCCTCATAATTAATTTCTCTATGCTTAAACATGTCCTTGAACTGGTAAATGTCCTATTTAAACCAAAGAAGAGGTTCATGTAAGAGCACAAAGTGATTAAAGTAATTGAGTTAAAATTCAGCATCGGACGAGATGAAGAAGAACGAGACTATTTTGCAAAGTCAGAGACCATGCATTTTATTACAAACCCTGTGACTGACTGAGTTAAATTCGGTGACATATTGATCTAGACAAATTATTTTATCTACTAAAATTAGCAACAAAGTCATAATTTTTTATGGTCTAACATGAGATGACCCCTTTGAATGGTTTGAGGACTAATGGTTCCAGCTTTATGGCAAATATACAATTTCTTAAAATATATGTAGGAATTTGTAAACTACAAAATTATAATTTTCATAAATAACCACCACACATTGCATAAAAGTGCAAATATATGTAAATCTTTTGTCAAAATAGGTATGTATTTCTTAGACTAATAGAAATCAAATCATCATGTACTTAACGTTATATAACGACAGACCACACAGAATATGTACTCATGTAGAAGCAAACACCACCGCACCGGCGATAAAGCGAGGGGTAACACCCTTAGTTCCTGCCCACGGTTACTAAACATTTTGAAATTTCGGAACACAACAACGCCCTTTTAAGTTGAGTGACTGAACTGAGAAGGGAACTGGAGTTGACCTTTGTGCAGGCAGGTCACATCAGGAATGTTCCAGATACTCCAACAATACGAATTATTGTTCGAGCCTGGGGGCGCTCCCCAGAGGTTTTGGGCAAAGGCACCCATCCTCCACAAGAGCCCACTCCCCTGCCACCACAGGGCAGGACCCTTCCTCCCTTTACGACTCGGAAATTGATAACAAAATTTAAAATTTTTTTAGAATTTCTGAAAAATATACGTATCGAGTCAAGAGGGAGGAAGAGCATGAGATAAAAATAGGGCTTAGAGAATCATACTTTTGCCAGTACCGGAAGCCCCTCATCGCTGGGAGCAGCTCCCGGTACGGATCGAAGGCTGCCAACGACAACCAGAAAGGAAAGGAGGAGGAGATGATCATCAGAGATCAGAGACACTGGCCACATGGACTCGAGAGACTGCATTCACTGCTGCCTTTTTGCTTGACCAAGTACCCAGTCATAGGAGATCGATCAGAGATTGAGACCAAATCTGGAAACATAACGACACCACTCTCATTCTCAATGCGTAGGAGGAGGTCATACCACCTTAGATCGAGAAAATTTGACCCAGGAGGGCGCTCCTTAATGTTTTCTCCGAGTCCTTTCGTTTCGTCCACTATTTGTAGTATCACGTGGTTTCCAGTACCAAAACTGACCGTTACGTGACCTGTGCCTTACCTTGTAGGCCGTGTATCATAATTTGCATATATGTACATACATACATGTAACACAACGTCAGCGGTAGCGTTATACATTCGGATATTAATGCAAGACACACGGGTTAACAAAGTGATGTTAAGCAAAGCAATAAAAATTGTATTAGTGGTCAAGTCATAATCCTTCAATCATGTGAATATTGCATGCAGAACGTTATTTTAGGTGGATAAGCAGACCAAGTTTCATTGACACGACCTGATCGTCATTTAACAGGCGAATATCTCAGTATTTGATAAGCGATACGTTCTCTGGCCGGCAACGAGGCGACGAGGACACGAATATGTAAAAATGGGTGCATCCAATTCATTCCATTTATTCACCCCATGTCATACTTCTGACTTATGTAATACATACCTACTAAATTTCTGCTAAAGAATCGTCTTTTTCCGTCCTCCATTAAATTACATTGTAGAATGTGAGACGTTACATACGGCCGGAATTCTCAAATTTCATTTACAAAGGATATTCCAACTGTTTGAATTTTTGCATAGAAGGAAACTTGACTCGGCAAAATTAAACGTGATGACGCCGGCGAAACGGATGAAAAACACCAACTTAGTAACAATGGCTGTGTCAACTAAACCATCATTTTTAAATGTCAAAAGACATTGGATACCAATGAGCAAAAAATTGCCGACCATTCAATCTTATCAAATCTATCTAAGCAAGCGCCAAAATGCCATAAAATTATTAATGTGATGGGTATCCTATTGTCATAACTAAATCAAAATATGAAATCTGATCAGGGATTGAAATGCCAGACCAATTTTATAGCGGAAAAGTGCCCAGTCATTTTACAGAGTTGGTTGCCCAGTGCAAACACGAGGTCCACAAATGCCGGTTCCAAGCATGGAATTGTTGAGTGCTTATGGACCGAAATTTGCAAATCGTATTTGGACGTACCTATCTATCTGTCGTCATTTATTGCAACGCGATTTCCAATAAGAATTGCCTTCGTGCCTATGTACACGATTCCCATTTTATGGCTCGTCTGGTCGGTGCCATTTTTATTGCTTGCAATTATTATGCAACTTGAAACGAAAACCTGTATTGGAGCAAGTACATACATACGAGTACCTAATATGAACTAATAAACGTGCCATTATTTTTTAACTGGAGAGAATGACCAAGGACTATTATTGTCCTAACAGTTTTATTATTGTCATAATATTGGTTTATGGTCTGTAATTTGAGTCATCTTCTAACAAGCAAACTGACAAAAATTATTGACTAAAAATGTCTGGTGGCCATCAAGCATTGATCGCTGATCAAACCTTGCTGAGATATATGCATGTAAAGAATACACAATTTTAGTTGGGTCAATATTTGATGGATGATTTGTCAAAGATTTGTATTTACCAATACGTAAATCTTCTTAATGTTTACTCGAGTAGATAATTTTACTTAATTTACTTAGAATTAGGAGACAAACAAGCGGAGACAGAATTCTAATCCAATTTTGCCCTCTCACAATATAGATAGATCAGTATTTTAAACTTTGAGGAATCCTGTTATCATCAATTTGAAGTCTTGGGACTCCAACTACTCAAACTTTATCTATCTTTCCCATGTAAGAAAACATGTTAATTGATGATGAGTGATATTATTTGTCTCAAATTTGGTCAACCAGAGGAGGAAATTAACTTGAACCCAAGTAAATTCAAGTTATGGTCGGTTTATCTGCTCTGCCCCAAAATTCCAGTCCTACTTACTTAAATCTCATCATTGAGAAAAGATAATGAGAAAGTTGTTCTGTTTATGATGATTAGAATTTGACAAATCTTATGGATTACACGTCTTTCTATTCACTTATGCAAAAAAATGAATTAATTCTGATGCATTTAGTATTTATTTAAATCTAATGGTCTGGATGACACAACCGATTAAAAATATGGTGAGGTGACCTTCACAATAATTTGATAATACTGAATACCCATCGTCTCATCCATCCAAACAGCCAGACACCATTGATTGTCATACTTTTAGTTAGTCGTCCAAGGGGATTGTCTCATTTATTTTTTGATAAAGCGTGTTCCTCTAACTGACTGAACTGAACTTTGATTGACCTTTTTTGTGCAAGCGGAATAATTCAGGATTTGACATTAAATAGTACGGAGAAATTGTTGGCGTGTGTGCGATAGTAAAAGTAAAAGGAATAATAAAAATAAAGCCGAATTAAGTATTTTTTAATAAGCCGATAACACATTATCCGGGACCACACCATACCACACCACAGACATAAGCGCATTATTATTTATGTAGAGGCAAAGTCCGCAGCTGAGAGGTCACGTATGTCATAAAGAGGTCATGCCCCACATCATCTTACATACTCACATATTATGCAAAAACATTTCACTTTTAACAATCAAGTTTTTTTACCACAAAACCAAAAGCGACATTAATGCAGCGTACATATTTACATAAATACATAATTATTGGTATTTGGAATTGTACATTTCGTAAAAAACATCACTTAATAATTCCCCCACCTATTAAACTTTTGTTATTTTTAGATGATAGATGAAGAATTTTTTTTACAAAATAATAATAAAGCAAGTGAAATATTTATGTAAGAAAAAATTTGTTCTGGTTACCTTAAAACGTACGAGTCCATGCATTCGTTGGACAGCATGTTGATTATTTCGCACTTGACGACTCGCAAAAGACCCTTGATTTTCTCCCTGAAAGAAATTAAGAGGATGCAATTAATGGAAATTCCACAATATTTTAGCAACATCTTAAAGAGTTCGTATGATACATAAAGAGCATAATATTCAAACTAGTCATTCGGTGAAACCGGTTGTGTTTTGGTTATGCAAGGGTAAAAATAGCACATTTTCATACCATTCCATTCAGTTAGTCACATTGCGAAATAATGTGACTCTCTTTTCTCTCTCTCATCTGCTTTAAAAGTGGAAGTTTTTTAATGTTGTGTGTTCCTCACAAAAGTCTAGAACATGCTAAAAAATGGCTATATTCAGAACGTCACGACTGTATCAAAAAAACTGCAGTCATCAATCATGAATCCCCATTTTGTTCCTCACTCAAGGTCCTTGACAAAAGCAGAGCTGACAAAAAAAGTACATCTGACAATCACTCCATATTGGTTTTCGGAGTTGACTGATAAGCCGAACTTTTGAAAACGCCTTGCCCCTGATTTTCAATACGGGTTTAGATTAGCTCATCCCATGTGGAATTTGCGTATAGACGACTATGTAATATGAGTGGGTCGTCTCTCTTCTTGGGAGAAATAACCTATGATGTAACTATAGTCTCATCGTTCGTGGTGTCTGCTCAGTCAACCTCAAACCCGGCCTTACGTTTTGGCAAGCGTCGACTAATCTAAATCTAATGGAATGTACTTACCGACGGATTGCGATCGCATGGTAATGAACGAACGGATAAAAAAAGTATCATGCGAGAAACGCGTACAATTTACACGATTTTTCCCCAAATGCCAAACTTTTATTAGGAATAAGTGCAGTGCATTTATGACGAGGATAAATTATAACGGGAATACTGGAAAGGTCAGAGTCGTCGTAATATTGACGGTTGACAGGTTCTCGAAGGTTCTTGCGATGCATCGATGCAATCGGAGTCAACTTACGTCCCGACATTTACCCGATATTTATATTGAGAAATGGTTAAGGACACGAGGTTTTGTTTTCGTATGACGACAAACAGGAAGGAATGAGAAACATTGATTGAGTCGTTTTCAGCATGAGGAGAAAATGATGGGACAGAAAACGAGGAAAAATATGCGCACAAAATTTCACAAAATCGGAATTCTGCCTACTTTCACTTATTTCCTAGAAATGTAAAAAAATACCAAATTTTGGCACTACTCACCTTGGAATCATCCTCAAATCACAATTCTGCGTTTTCCCATCCGACTTGGTAAACCAAACTTCAAGTAATTTTTCGACCCCTTCAAAGAAATGATCCTCACTTTCTGGCATGTCTGAATTGTCCGTGTCTGAGTCTGCCCCGGAAGTGGGGTTGCTGATGATAATGTCGTCCAAGCGTGGACGGTCATCATGATCCGAGTCCGAGTCCCCACTGGACGAGAAGACGGACACGATCTGGTGGTCAGAGTGGTCCGAATAATCCGAATCGGACGACATTTTTACGCGTGGCTTGTTTTGTCTCGTCGTCGTGATATTTTTTGAGGTGGATTGTTCAAAAATAATGAAAATGAAGAGTTTTTATGTGCTTCTGAGTGAGATTAGGACGTGAAGAGTTGATGGGGAACGTGGCCGTGGGGTGTCAACTTGGATTGTTGATATCGGGAGGTACTTGATCTTTGGCTTGGTGTGGGGGTCCAAGATAGTAGATTCTGAAATTATCAAAATACACATTAAAATTTTGAAAATTATTTTTTTCAAAAATGCTAATTTTTTCAAAATCCCCCCTACGTTTGGGGCCGGTCAGGAGGAAGCTTGTCCCTCAACCGCCGACGTTTCTCGGTCAGGTATCAACTGAGGAGGAAGGTCATGGCTTTGCGAGTTTCGCCGTCGCAATCGCCTCCACCGCCACGACCAGAAATCTCCTCCGTCAACGTTTCGTCGCCGATTTTTACGAGTAACGCACAACCACAAGTGACAAACAAGTCAGGAACTGTGGTTGCGGGACCAAATGACATAATAGTAATTCGTGTACCAATTTCAGTACAAGTTAACTGGACAAAATTGGTTTCTTAGAGGACTTGTGGTATCCGTATTTGCAATGCACTTTGATTGAGAGAGGGGTGGGGTAAAGTAATAAGTAAATATTATTTTCGACACAGAAATGGTAAAGGAGAGAAAGTCGATAGTCGACTAATGGGTGGATTGCAGAGTCAAGGATACGGATGAACGTCGCGAGAAATCTACGCAGGCAGAGTAGAGAAAGCTAGCGAATTTCGCGTAATATGTAGGAGTCGGGCACTAAATCATACGTATATTCGCATATATGTACGGGCTATATTGCCAAAATGCTTGCAAAATCGGGCACCTCCCAAGTCCCAACCGACCCAGATAGAAAAAATGTGCTTTCTCCCGACTCCATTGGGCCAGCAGAGAGAGGAGGCGGACAGTTGAAGGTGAAAGTGAGGGAAGGGAAAACAATAATGCGATTCTAATGCTATGGACGTGCGGAATAGAACGTTGAGCATATAAAATGCACTGCATGCAAATTTTGTTAGCAGATCGACTGAGCATGAAATCAGGACTATTTTATAGAAATGGATGACAAAGAGCTGCAAGTTTTTCGAAATTTTAGGATCCAAATCCATCCACTAATCTTCATTTCATACAATTTAGAAAAAAAGCTATGACGTTGTTACTCTACTATATCCATTGACTGGTGTATTTACTCACCCTTGGAAAAATTTGGTCACCACACGTTCGGTCTTTTCCGAACACGGGTATTCCCTGTAATCGGATCCTCCAATGGTTGAAGATGTACGTACGTACGTAAGAAGAGATGCTTATGAATCTTGCTAGAAGAGAATTACTAGGAATTATTGGAATCTAATGTACACAGTGTTCTTTTTTTAACTATGCGTTGAAATACGACGGCGATAAGAAATCTGTAACAAAAAGACTGTGAAAGAGTATGAATACGTTTAACTCTCTCTCTCTCGAGTCGTCTTCCGTTAACTGAGCTCCGGCAAAGTTGCTCATCCAGCTTTAACTAAATGTCGAACCTTTAAGACTCTGGTTGGGTTTAGTAATTGTGGTTAAAGAAAAGGGCACACATGCATATGCAGCATGGGTTGAGAGCATGTTGGACAAGAGATAATAATATAAAGTGTGCTCTTATATGCACGAGTTTGGTTATTAGGCGACACATGTATGTAGATACTTGGTAAAGAAACCTATTGAATGGAAAAGGCTGCATATATATGCATGCTCATATCCCAAGAAAGCAAGGAGTTAAGTATTTACCAGTAATATGAATCTGAGTCATCCTTATGTACTTCATTCAGGAAAATATTGATTGGACTTGATGCCTTTTTCAATGAACGTTACATGAGAAACGTCAAGTTGTGACGTTGATTGGTGGCAAATTGGCATGAATTTTTAATATGTTTATGTACATATAAGGGTGAAAGTGCATGGATTCTGGAAATGTGCAGAAACCTATGGTCACGCTGTAATAGATATTTCGTAACAAGTACGTCATCGTGCATATGCTGTTAGCCTGTATATTATGACAATTTGGCATGCTTCTTCAGATAAATCGGGTATACATAAGGGCTTGCGAAAATTCTCGGAATTGTTTGTACAACAGAAGGAATAAAAACAAGAAGTATTGGCGTTAGGAAATGTTTTGTTGATAAAACAGCTTAAGTTTTGATACTGATTATCATAAGTATGGATGAGTGTTTAGCTCATTTTCATGTTAATTACAGGATATTCATTTAGTAGTAAGCGTGTTCGTGGAACCGTTTTATGCTCCCAACTTTTACGTTCCCCATTGATCATTGATTACAATGCCTAGAGTAACAGACAACAGGGTGACTCATACTACTTTCAGAAACTGGCTAAAAAAACCTTTAAATTTTGCACCATGAATAAATATATGGAAGGACCTATCCGAATCAGTTATGTAGAACATGGAATTAGATTACTATACTACATATAAATATACAGATTTTCCCAGCCCACCAACATCGAGGCTTTCCTCTACTCCCGAAGCCAATTAAGGATAAGTCACTTATCCTAAGTTTATTTTATATTTTACGAATGAGTTTTTGAAATTAAGCGAGAAAATCTATCCATTAATTGTCATCATGCTTTGTCTGGTCTTGTCCATTTAAAAGGCTTGGTCAAAAGTTACACTCTTCTCGAGATATTTCGAAAATCATGAAAAATTGCGGAAATGCCAAATTACAATAGGAAAGTTAAATCTTTCATTTTGTAAATTATTAAATTGTAATAATCTTAATTATTTCCAACATCAATCATCGAATGATGCAGGTTTGCATAGCATATTTTATTCCATGGTTGTATTTCCTTTCTGCGTGTCATGTCATGGGGTCATCATCACAAGCGTACGGATGATGACACCAGAATTTCAGTAAATAATATTGACAACTTTATTCAACCCATTTTCCTCACAAGCACAAGTACAAAATACGACGGTGATCATGATTAATGCGGACTTTTCTGGAATCACAAAGCACAAGCTGTATGATTTATTCTGTGATGAATTTATATGCACATCCATCCATCAAATGTCCTCAATCTCATTTCATTGCTGCTGAACACGCGAATCGCATTATTATTTTTGTTCGAGACTTTATTTCTTTCGTACCATTATCAAGACTTACAGTAAGAAATTGGTGAAAATCATTAATCATGGTACAGAATATGTGTAATGTAAGTAGTATTGGACAATAATTGAAGGATATGCGGGACAACCTCGCTAAACTAACCGACTTAATCTAGATGGAAATTGTGTATTAACCTTCTACTACAAATGACATATGCATTCAGATAAATCTGCCCATTACGCAATAATTATTTCTAAATATTATCAATAAAAGCTAAAACAATTACTAAATCTACTCGCTAAACGAAACGTTGTTTTTTATACAGAGTCACAAATATTTCCTCCAAGGATTGATATCTCAATGTCAAAAAAGTTTCAAATTCATCATTGCCAGCAAGTGCAGAGTAATGAGAAAGTGGGCATTTTTTGTGGCCCACTTATTCCACGCGGATGTACGTTTCTGAGGTCATGAAACTGTTGAAATTGATGCATTTTGATGATCCAGGTCCAAAAATCTTGTTGTGATGATGTCGGGCATAACGCATAATATAGATTAAAACACAGATTTACATATTTACGAACGACGTTATAGTGCAAGCTCAATATTGATGTACGCAATAGTTCTGCGATTGCAATGATGTAAAACTTTTCCAGTGATTGAATGGTTAGTATTCTTGTTCCAAAATGAATTCCGAATTGGTTTGGGTTTTTGAACCTTATAGCTTAACCTACAAGCTAAAAGTTTACCTTGTCACTCGCCTCCTCAATTTGAGGGGGAGCAACGGCGCTTTTACTTTCACTTGTGTCACAGTCGTCGTCAAATTGTCCGTCTTAATACGAATTGTAGGAAGTTGGGGTTGCTGAGGAGAGATAGAAGTCGTCGAGGAGCTGAAGTTCCATTTTATGCGTGTTTTGGATGGAATTGCTAAATGTATTTGATTTCTTGTGTACCAAATCATTCATTTACCAAGAGAGGAGCGAGAGGAAATATACAATAATTACAAATATATGTATGTAATACAGGACAGGGACTTGGTTTTCTTAGTAAAATGGTAAAAATATCCATTTATTGCATGGCGCATTTTTGGTAAAAACAGACTCCTCGATAGATATTGGCTGGTTGGTTCACTTTATAACTTGGTAATAAGATTATGACTTGCATATCTCATTTGAAAATTAAATTAGTTTAAATATGTCAGCAAAAGTCAGTCACATTAACAATATTTAACTACTTTACCCCTTCCTGTGCAGTACATAATATAGAATAATAATAATAATTGTCACTGAGTTTGAGTAATAAGTAGTTTCGCATCATTCACCCAAAATTATTATAACTGACCAGGTTTCTAAAATTGTCACAATATTCATATCAAATCAGTCCTTCAACTTATATAAAAACGAAACGAAATGCACAAAAAAAGTCAACAACAATTAAATAAACATAATAATAACAGTTAAATAATAAGTTACAGTTGTGATAATTAAATGAGTTCAGTTGACTTTATAAACGCAGACAGAAGAATAATAGCAGCGTTTACGATAATCTACACTAAAAAACACTACGCTAGTCTGAATTTTTTCGTATAGTTACTAACTTGTATACGAACTAATTAACCTAAACTCTAGTTCATATTAATAAACTTTGTTAATTAACTCGTGGGTTCAAGAAGATCCATTTTCACCCGTTTCCGTCATTCCTATAATTTCGTTGTGATTTTCTACAAAGTTTTCTTGGCTGTTGGTGTCTTCTTCTTGAACTTGTTGCGAATGTAAACCGGGTGAAGAAGAAGAATGTTTATTATGAATAGGAAAGGAAATTGGTTGGTCGATTTCGATATTATGTTTGGAAGAAGGTATACACCTGTTGTCATCATCATCTTCACAAGCAACACTTTGAAGATTTTGGCCACCACTACAAGACTCGTCACCACCGTAGTTTGGCGAAGAGGAATTATTAATAAATATGTCGTCCCTTCCCCTATCGTTATCGTGACCACTGCCATTATTGTGACGATACTGTTCACTAACGTTACTTTCATCATCTTCTACTTCAGGGGCAGTGTGGGGAGAATAAACTCGCCCTTCTTGATTTTCACGACCGTGGTCATTGTTGTCATTTGATTCTTCATTATCTGGACCATTTGAGGACGAATGAAAATTACTATTACTATGATAATCCGTTGGAGGAGGAGGAGAAAACGATTCTTGTTGAATGTATTCGTCCCTACTGTTATATTCGTTGTTTTGATTTTGAAAACTGGAAGAATTTTCGTCGTGTGGTTGTTGAGTTTGATGGTGGTACTGAGAGGGCGAATCCTCAGTTTCTTGTTGATATAAAGAGGAAGAATTGTTGTCATTTACTGAATCATAATTAGTGATATCGTCTTTTGAGTTGTCAAATTCCTCGATATTTTCCCCCTTGTCGTGAGAAATTGGGCTATTATGATCATTATAAGAATCTTCGGGTGGCTCTTCATGAACTTGCTGCTCAGAATTGTCTTCTTCGTTCCAATTTCTTTCATTCTCATTACCAGCCAATTCTTTCGGCCCATTACTATTTTCATTGGATTCAAAATTTTCCTCACTGAATCTAGAATTATTCGAGATTTCCATATTTTGATCGGCTCCTTCCTGATATATTTGTTCTTGAGTTTCTTCAAAATTCTCTGAGGCAGGGTTATTAGTGGGTGCGTTGTTACAATCCCAGTTGTTTGCTGGGGTATCTTGTGGTGCCGATACATCTGAAGGCTGGACGGAGTTGTTGGCATTGTCTTCATCATCTTCCCAATTTTCTTCCACCGGAACAATTTTTTCTTGAGGCTGTTGTCGTTCACTGGATTGACGAGGTCGAGATTCTTCGTCACGACTATGAGGTTGACGTCGGCTGTCTCGTTCACGGCTACGATTTCTGCTATCTTTTCTGTCCCTGTTATAGCTCCGGTCTCGCTCCTCTCTCCGACCACCACGATCTCGATCCCTTCCTCGGTCACGGTCACGACCTACACAGTAACATATTTACTTAGACAAAAATATGATGGCAATATAGTTACTATAAAATAAAACACTCACCTTCCTCAGATCCGGTAGAATTGCGACCACCACTACCACGACCAAAGGGAGGACCTCCACTAACGTCATCACGATCACCACCATCCCATGGTTTTCTTCCTCCTCGTCCCCATCCACCGCTCATGGTGGGTTCGTCGCCGCCATCCCACCCTTCATTCGCATTTCTATTCCACCAACCCCCTTTATCATTGTTATCCCTTCCTCCCCTTCCTCTCGAGTTTGCTCCTCCACCGCGCATAAACCCGTCACCACCACCGCCGGCATTAGGCCTTCCTCCACCTCCTCGATTATTATCATCTCCACTTCCCCAAGTGGTTTCAAACAAGTTTCGATCCGGTTGTCCCCCTCCTAAGGCTCTAGGTTGCCCAAATAGTGGTGGAGGCCCATCAGACGATGGAGGTGGTACTCCAATGTCGAATGGATTTTCAGATAAGCTGCTCTGAACAAAGGGATTTCCAGCAAATGGATTCGGGTTGAGGAAAGGATTCGGAGCGTCAAACCAAGACCTTGGTCCGGTCATTTGGGCAGAAGGAGGAGGACCGTCTACTCCCATGAAACCAGGACGAGGGAATTGATTTCCTCCAGGACCAACTAAAAGTAATGAATATTTTAATGCATTAGGATCACACATCAAGTGATTAATCGTGATTAAATTACGAGAAAGAAGAGACTGTTGAGGAAATCCTCTTGGGGGACCTCCAGGCTGCATTCGGTCAACAGGTCCTCTGGGCCCACCCAACATTGCTCCAGGATTTCCCAGCAAAGATGGACCAGCCTTGTCATTATTAAATCCATAACCTGAAAAAAAAACAATATAGCGTAAACCAAGTTTGCATATATAGACTTCATTTATTAAGTTTAAATTGTCAAGAAACAGGTCAACAACCTTCCGCAAGACTCTTTAGTCTTTCAAACACTGGGCGTTCGTCCTTTACTAGCATGCCTTCTTGGGAAGATGGAGATGCTCTGGTGTCATCCATTGGGTTGTGCAAACTTTCATTAGTATCAGTAAATCTGCTTCGTCTCCTAAAGATTCATAAGAATGATTTTAGTACTAATTAGCGGATGAAGAATAACGATAATGAAAATAATATAAATGTTCACAGCATCTATATGCAAATGCTACCAGAGAAAAACATTGGCACTCAAACAGCTTTGATATATTTTTTATAGCAATTGCCTCAAGTACAATTAACCAAATGGGATTACTTGTACATAAAGTGGCCAATTGCAAAAGTACTGTCACAGACACACACAAATAAAAATATCAAGGACTCACTTTCCATCCTTTCTTTCCATTTTTCTAGAGTCATCCTCATCTTTCATAGACTGGTGTTGATCCATGATTGATTGGGTTTGTTGTGGCGGCATGCTATTCATGGGAGGCAAGTTCCCCATCGGACCGGCTGGAATATCGCCAAGCAGACTTGGACCCATCCCAGGTCCTCCCATTCCCATTCCAGGAGGCATCATCCCAGTCATCATTCCCATAGGCATACCCATTCCACCGAATGGTGGCATTCCAGGTCCCATCATCGGGGGAGGCACCATTCCCACAGGTATTCCCATTGACATCATCCCAACAGCTATAAAATAAACGAATAATAAACACCGAGATACTAATACCAGCATAATATTTGTAATAATTATCTTACGAGGCATTCCAAATGCGTTTTGCATCCCTTGCATTCCTTGGATCCCTGGAGGAGGACCTTGTCCTTGAGTCATAGCTACGGCGGCGGCGGCTGCGAGGTCGTTATTTCTATTAATTTCTGGGTCGGCAGGCTGCTTGGGAGCACTTTCAGAAGGGGGATTTCCACTTGGAAGAGTATTCTCTTGACTATTTTCCGACTCTATCATGTTCTGCTGTCCACCGACCTCTTTGTCACCCGACTTTAGTTTCTCTGTTTTTAATTACAATTGTGATTAGATAAATTTATATTTAAATAATTTATATATGAGCAAATACGTTTCAGGTGATCAGGCAACGTGTCTTCGTCCACACAACCTCCGTCTTCAAATTCTTCCAGATTCGTTTCAACACGAAGTTTCCCCCAAGGAATGTAAGATACTAAATAATCATATTATAAATATTACAGCCACCTTTATTGGTTTTATATAAAAACGTGTCTATACCTCCAGAATCAATTTCCCAATAGTCTTTCCATTCACGACCTTTCATTCCTTTTCCTGGGGCCCAGGCGACCTACGGAATAATGAACGAACATGTATAATTTGAATTTAACAAGTTCACTGTGATATAAATAGAACACGCACTGTTATAGTTTTCCCTTGCAATTTGGTATTCTTAAGACGGTCAAGAGCTCTTAAAGAATCTTGTCTCCTATTCATTACAATAAATGCACATCCTCGAGGTGGAATAAGGTCTATACTAACAATATCCCCATATGCGCCGAATTGATCTGCGTCAAAAAATTAATTAAGTATTATGACTTTATCATTATTTTGGTTACGGTTATCAAGTAATTACCGGACAAATCTTCTTGTGAAACTAATTTGGATAAATGTCCAACCCACAATGTGGTTGAACAGACTGAAAGGTGTTCTTTTTTAATGGGTGGGAAACCCTTCCTCACACGTTCCTTTTCTTTTTCGCGTTCACGTTCTTTATCTTCCTTCCGATCTCTGGATCTTGATCTGTTAAAATTTCAAGATTTCGAAAATTATTTACTGAATTGCTACATAAAAACAATAGCAAATAGTGCCAAATAAATAAGGTCCCTACCTGTACCGTTTTCTATCTCGACCTCCACCTCCGTCTCGTCCACGGCTTCTTGATCTCGACCTTCTAGATCTTGAGCGAGATCTACTTGATCTACGATCGCGAGACCTAACACACAATATTAACGCAAATTTCAGTTTTACAAATTACATAAATATATATGGTGTAAGTAATCACCTCTTGCGTCTTCGATCTCTTCGATCTTTGTTTTTGTTTGGTTCATCCGTTAAATCAATTTCTTCAACCCCTTGATTATGGTTGAACGCATTATAAGATTGATTCTCATCTCCTCCATGTTGTTGGTTATTATTAAACATATTGGTCTAGAAAATTTGCATACAAGACAATTTAAACTCTAAACCAAATACCAAATTCTTTAATGGCTACTTACAGCATGAGATACATCGGGTGGAGGAAAATGAACACTAGGAACATTGAAAGGCATCTGAATTCCAAATGGATTGTGACCATCTTGCCGTTGTCCAAGAAGACTTAACAATTGTTGGGCTTGTTGCTGCTGCTGTTGTTGTTGCTGCTGTTGCTGTTGTTGAGCCTCCTGTCCGTGATATTGCTGCTGTTGTTCAGCAATTGTTTGAAAAAATGGAGGAGGTAATAGCTGGTTGGATTGATGGCCTTGACTATTTCCTAATTGATTAGAGTTTTGATCAATGTCTTTTCTCGAACGACCTCCACCATCCTCAGATCCATCATAGTCAACAGCAAAGGGAAGACGCTGTAACGGTCCAAAAAATAATTTAAAAAATTGTTACACACAATTAATAAGTTGAATCATTATTACAGCGACAGCAGACGCTAATCGTTGATCAAAGGCTGCCTCCTGCTTATTAAGTTCGGCTAATTTTCGTTGTCGTTCCTGTTCTGGAGTTAGGTAACCCCCTCCGCCACCAGTGTGAGAGGTTGCAGCTGCAATCTGTTCCTATATTTGAAAATTTAATTATTATTCTGCAATCTGAAATAAATTACAACACTTATTCTAAATTATAAACTCAGCTAACCTGCAGAGTTGCAAGCTGCCTTAAAATTTCTGGGTTAGCTAAAATACTGCCGAGAGCATCCAGCCCAACATTATTTTGCTGGCTGTGATCTTGGTTTTTGTTCGAGGGTCCGCCATCCCCATCGTCGTCATCGCCGTAGTCATAGTCGAGCACTTCCTTCCTGAAGGGGACGGAAGGTAAGTTGCTTAGGAGCGAGGATATCGCTGCCGCAGCAGGGCCGCTAGGTCTGTTACTGGATGCAGCAATATGCTGCTGTTCTTGTTGTAATTGCTCCCAAATCGGATTATTTGGATCCGCCAAGTCGAAAAGTGGTTGAATCACTTCTGGTGAGAAGATTTTGTTCTTTTGCCACAGGTTGAGGACACGGATGATTTTTGCCTGGAAAATAATTTTAAAATTAATCCACATTGACAATAGGTTAAATTATTTTGCTTTGTACCTTTTCTTCTTCTGGACATTTGTACAAATGCATAAAAGTCGTCTGGATATTTCTCGCAAATCTAGGCGCAAATACATCCTTTTCAGATCCAAACTGATGACGCGACTGTCGTATTATTGAGTCGATAACGTATAGTCCAGGAATTTTATACTCTGATTTACACTGCAAATAGGAATAACATTAATACTACATAAACCGACATGTTAAACCTTGAGAATTACCTTTTGTATAAACTTTTCGACGCTTTGAACCACATGTTTGTACAATTTTACGCCTTTCAGTGCTGCCCTTGTCACTGCGGTCATCTTTCCTTTGGATATCGGTGGTTTCGCATCGTACAGGCTTTGCAGCTAAAGGATTCAATTACATAAATTACGATTCATTTATAACCACTGTAGTTTGTGACACTTATTTTTAAGTAGCTCACCTCTGCATTGAACGAATTGACCGCATCCATGTCATTCATTTTGAAGCCGTAAACGTATGACTTGACGTAACTCTTTTTACTCTCTGGAACTGATGATGGTGACAGCGACACTATCAATAATTAAAATAACTGTAGGAGCTCATGTATCATTTTTTGCACATGTTTGCCGGAGACCGTCGTTGACAGCGATACATAAATCAAAACGATTCTACAACACTACACACAGTGCGTCGCGGCGTGCAATTTGATAAGCCACCCCCAAAACGCACTCCCAAAAACTCAACCAAATTAAACCTACACCTATGAATTAAAAGATGAGGTAATTTTGGCAGTTTGTTTTGGAAGAATTATTTATAAACACGACACACCAATCACAATTATTTATACAAACAGCAAAATCAGCAGCAATTTACGGATCGATCTCGTACTTTTGAAATTTATCCGTCGTTGTCGTCATCGCCCGTAAATAATATTTAAAAATTGTGATACGTATTGCTGAGTAAGAACTTTGCTTTGTCCGTTATTAGGCAAAATGTTCGATTCACTAATTAAGATTCACTTCCGCAATGTTTTGATATTTAGAGATTCCTCCAATTATTTAAAAATTTTGTTTATTTCCGGCCGGGTTCAATCAAGTTTTGTATCCATCCCCACAAACTTTCCAACTAACAAGCTCTTCACCCACTTGAGTACGGTCCAATTAGTTAATTAAACTATCGTCATTATCTTTTTAACTTGTAATTTTTATTTTAACCATCTTCTTTTTGTCAACTTGACTTCGCTTGCTGTCATTTTGCTGCGTCTCACACTCTCACATGCATTAACATTGAGTTTGCAGGCAGCCACTTTTGTGTACAAGGAATTCGCCTATATAATTATTTTGGTAGGAGACTTAATTAATGAAATTTTCAAAATAATATTAAGCCGTACATTTTTATGGGGCTTTTTTTAAGTTGGTGATGATTTGAAATTTGTGTCAGTTTTCCAATCCAATTTTATTACTTTGTCGGGAGATTTCAGCGAGTCGGAACTTAAGTTCAAGTTTACTTCATCAGATGGCATTTGGCTGGTCAGTTGGGGAAAGCATAGCTCTAATTCGATGGATGAGAATTCGGAAATACGTAATAATAAAAAAAACGATATTTTTCATAAAATAATTTGTAATCAATCATCTGTAATATATACTTCTGTGAAACATAATTTAATGAAAAGTTATGATGATTTCAACGAACCAGAAAATCTTTTATTTATTTTTAATATATTTATTCTCCCAAGAAAAATATTACGGTGTTTCATTTACACTAAATTTTTTCATAAACTATTTTTTGTGACTTTAGTTAAATTGATTTCTTGGTAATTTATGTATATATTTTAGTTGATGACATAATCAAATAATAGTTTATAAATTAAATTATTCTTAAACATATTTCGACTTTTCGTTACGCGTTGACTAATAAGATAATAAAACAGACCAGAATTCAGAATACTTAAAAAAGTTACGGGTGCAAAATTTGCACTGCAAATGGTAATTCTCACAATCAAATTATTTAATGACACAGTGAAGACATAAGTATGCAATCTTCTTATCATAACGTTGCAATCTCAAATGAGTGAAAGCTTGCATATATTGTTTTTACAATTTCTTCTAAAATATACTACTTTAAAAAGTAGGTAGTAGCATTTGATCATATCAATGATATGATATCATACAGTATGATTCATACATACTCCAGAGTTAAATAGCATTCGGATTCATAATTTCATTTTCTAAAGATAACTAGAATTTTGATGATAATACGGGTGCATAATACGAATAATTGTCTGATTATAACCTGATTGCCTCTCTGCAGTAACTAAAAACTAAATCATTACAAGTCTACATACTTATTACTTTAAATATTATTATATTCTGAAAATTGATGAATTTGCTTATATCTGTACAGATTAAATGCACAAAGGGGAGTGGTTGGTGATGATGCTGGGGTCATACTATTAATATTTAGTAGGAAAGTTATTAGTTAACTCATACTTCGGGTCTTTTTGTGTGAGGTATTTTGATTGCTTTAGGTTTCAAGGGATCTTCGTCCTCTTCTTCATCTCCAGCAATGTGAACGAAAATTGATGGGTGTGACTCCTTCTCAGGTTTATGGAGTTCATGGGCTTCACCTGAAATATAAATTTTGTAGTAATAATGACCTCATCGACAATATCGACATAAGCATTCTGTTTGTGGTCTCACCTGGGCTCAATTTTGCAAGTGCAGATATGAGGTCATAATTGACATTTGGATGCGATTCGGGACAAGGCTGCAATTGATTTTGAATGTTTAAATGAAATAAAATTTTACTTGATATGATTTTAGATATTAATAATATTAGTACCTCCCAATCTACAGGAGGGGAACAAGGAGGTGAAATGAGGAACTGCTTATCTGGAGTGGGTGGATGTAGTAATCCATCCTCCTTATCCTTTCTTACAATCTAAATACAAAATAAAATTGTATGAAATTGATGAAATCAACCTTTAAAAACGCTCTAAAATTATGACAACTCACCGGATTCTGACCAAAATAACACTTTAAAATATTTTCGCCCAAGACACTCCCATGCATCTTAATTCTCGCCTGGATCGCACTCGCCGCCGACGCATACGTGACTCTGACCCGTTTAAAACTCTTAAAATAGTGAAACGCTGCATCTTCGCCGTAAAGTTGGAACAAACTTTCCAAACGTTTCTTTAGTTCGTCTTGCTCAAAAAATTCGACGTTAAACCCGGTGACGATTAAGTTGGTGGGGAAATCTTCGTCAATGATTTCGTCTAAATTTATATCGAAATCTTCCCATTCTCCGTTCAATATCCGGTACTGGAGTCTTTGTCGTGCCTCATTGTTGGCGTTGTTTTCCTCATCCATCGCTTCCAGGCGGAGTCCATCTTCCGCATTTACGAAAATGTTGTTGTCGTCGTCGACGTTATAATTTTCTTCGCCGTCCTGTTGACCCATAATTTTGTCGTCTGCGGGCATTCTTTTAGTTATCCAAAATATTATTTTTATTGTTCGATTTATCAAGATCGTTTTTTTAAAATTGTATTTATATCTAGAATTTAGCTATTTCCGTGGTGGTAGAGTAAACTTGTACAGATTTTAATGTCACAATATCACTAATTTTCACAATCGAACATGATCATTTATTTATTTAGCAGTGGCTCTTCATGTATGAAGGTTATTACAGTCACAATTTTTTGTAGATCTTCTTGACGTCAGCAAACTATCACATATTAAATGAGTTTTTGTCACTTCATTTCATCTCATTTCTGATGAAACAAAGTTTGTTTAACAAACTGTAGGTATACCCAAAACGCCGTAGAATTAATTATTAATTGTTTATAATTTTCGTTTCACCACCACCACCACAATCGGAACTGCAATTTTAGTAAATATTATTGCCAAACAATTCTTCTCATTAAGCCGAATACACGAAAAAAACTCGCACATATAGAAATGACTCGTCAAACCAACTTATTTTGGTTGGTAATAAATTGAATTAAACCTAGAGTCAAGTGGAATATTTATTCTGGAAATGTTTAGCAAAACACTACGCGAATTTGTGAGAAAAACCAGTAGCAATAAGTAATGGGAGTGCAGGAATTGATTTCTATTTCTATTTCGACTTGTCCAAAAATAGCAGCAAATGAAATTACAATATTAATGCCTACTTTACTTTCTTTCTCTTGTCTTTTACTTCAACATTGCGCTTTCTGCTCGTATGTGTTCGTGTATTTCTACATGTATGTAAGCGAGTATATGAAATGATGATATTAGTTGGGCTTTTTTCGCTATATGTTAGTAAAGGTAGATAGATTTCTGAAACCAGGTTTGCAATAAGAAAGTAATGCGAATTGAGACTTGGGCATGAGCATGAGGGAATATTCCTGACTTTCATTTCATTGTGTCCGAAGAATCGATAAATGGAGATTTTTACTAGAATTTTAGGTTTCTCAAGCCGATTTGACTACGGATTTTATCATGTAAACGAAATTATTATGCAATGCTGAAATATTGGATCTCATGATTTTTTGTCGGTATATGTAACCTTTTATTGCCAGCAATTTTATTTATTCGCTCTCGCTTATGTAAAACGGAAACCTTAAAATTCTCAGCAATGTGGAAATTGAAAATTGCATCCTGCATACATACATATATCGAATTTGAAATGCAGTGGAGCTTTTCAATTACAAAAATGTCTCGTCCTTGAGCTTTAATTCGTACCGTGTAATCAAGTCGCAAACAGAGTTTGACGAAAAAAAGTAGCAAGTTATATAATGCATCACTGAATTTGTAAAATTGTGGTAAAGCAAACCGATTAAAATCAATCAATCAATTGAACCAATCACCCTTTTTAAACTATTGAAGCAGAAAGAAAGGCAATTCTAAAAAAATATGACAATGACACGATTCAGATCTTTTGTCTATTTTTTTGGTTTCGCAATTTCGTAAGTAATTATTAAACAATTTGAATTTGTTTTGAAAAACTTTTAAATTCAAATTCATCTTAATCTTGTACAAATATACAATCGTGTTAAATGACAGCTAGACTCTAAAAAGCAATTAAAAGAAATGCGCTTCTGCAACGTCGACACTTATTTTTGCAATAAAAAATAAATAAAAAGAGCAACACAAAATTTTGCAGATAAAATATGAAGCTGTTGTACCAATCTCATCTCCAATAATTATAATTTACAAATTATGCATATAATGCATGTACTGGATTTTATTAAATACAATATAATTTTTATTTTCAATTGCGTCGCGCAGTTAAATTCACAACAAAAAGTTTAACAACTCGTAACTTACACAAATTAAGCTGAGGTTAAAGTTTTGACATTTTTTACGATTTGATACTTCGCCTCCTGAAGACACGTTTCAAATAAATGTTTTCATAAACGCGATGCATAAAACAAAGACCACACAGCACATTTGACATAAAATGCTCTCATATTCACATACTAATAAAACCATTAAAAATCTCAAAATTACACAACTCGCCGCAACAACCACAGGTAGATACAAATTTTTAAAAAAATTACAAATTAATTAAGAAAAAAACTGTTTGCTTGTTCACTCGATGGAAAGCATGTGATTAAATCAACGAAAAAAAAACACTTTTAAAATGCAAATGAATAATAATGATAAATGACCCCTAAACTAAAATAGAGTACAGATTTTGTAAAAGTTAAAGTTTTTTTGCCAATGTATGATACCCCTGATGAAATCAATATTAAGCAAATCTGGTTCACTTTGATGATGTATTGAAAAAGTGCACTAGTATCAATATCAAACCAATTTCATTTCGTTGCAATATCCCTTCGTGAGCGTTTTTTTGTCATGTTGTACATACATATGAGCAGCATTTCATGAGATTGAACATTAAACATGGAATGCAGCAGCAGTTTTGTTAAAAATGTAATGTAATGCTAAGCAAAGATCTATTAAAAGTAGACAGGTGGAAGTAGATAAATAAGAATATGTTTATGTAACAGATTATGTACAACAATAAGTATCAACTAAACCACGTCTGACAAAAAAAAGTTGAGCGTTTGTCGTTCTTGGCCCAAGGAATTTGATGAATTGCAATCTTAACCCTTTACGGAAAAAGGTGGTGTGTATAAAAGTGGAGTCAATTCAATGCCCTAATTCACTTGTTGTTTGACATCATCAAAAGAACAGTATCAAAACAAAATCTCAAAATCGAAATGATGAAAATTGTAAGGATTTTGAAAAGTATTCAAAATTTTGAATTCTGAAGAATAATTAAAATTTCATTTCAGATCGTTGTTGTTCTCGCTGGGCTTTGTGCCGTTGCTTACGCTGGTGGGGGTCACTACGCTGTGGATTACGGATTCCATGCTGGAGGTCATGGGGGTAAAGATATACGATTCTTAATTAAATGATATCCATCTAATGAAATGTTTTCTATACTTTTCTATGTCAAAGGTCATGGTGGATATGGTGAGTAACTTAATGAGAAAGGGTCATGCAAATTTAGAGCAATAATTATGAATCTATGTAGGTCATGGGCACGGTCATCACGGCCACGCCAAGGTTATGGCACATCAAAACAACCATCACTATAAATTCGGAGTAAGGGATTTAAAATTTTAGGAAATTTGACAAAAAAAAACCTAACTATATCTGATTAACTAAAGGTCACCGAACACGGACATGGGGGTCAAAGACATCATTGGCAAACAGGTAGATACATAATTATTAATTACGCATGTTGAATGAGTGCATTGCTAATTTAATTAATTACTCTAGCTGATACTTCCTACGGGGGGCACGGGCACGGTGGCCACGGGGGACCATACGGATACTGATAAGCTTGAAAACTTGACTGCGAAAAATTAATTATATAAATCAATAATATTATTGCGATTTAAACGCCACTCGAGTGAAATAAAATGTTCTAATTGAAATCAAATGATTAACATTGGGGGGAGTAATTATTAAAATCTAAAGATGAAAGATTGCTTATTTTTTTGCAAATCTCAGTTTTTTTGCACAATTGTAAATCATGCCCATTCATACAAATGAACTGTTGACTCTTTTTGTGAGACAAGTTCTGACAGGAAAATTCTCATTCTGAGAAAAGTGGAATATTTTAGTCTGCAGCAAAAGGTGGGTTGTGCTCATATCTAATCAGCATCAGCCACAATGTCAGTCAAACTCGAGGGTTTGTCCGCTCCTCCGTACTTTTAAATAACTGCCAACTTTGGAAATTTTAAATTTTCTACTCAACAAATTGGAAATTTTGTAATTTCCAGTGGTTCAAGACTGTATCCCACTAGTCTACCTTGGGGTGAGTACAAATTACTAAAGGTGAAAGGTTTTGGATTTGATTGGGTGTGTGAATCTGATTGAATATTTTTACTTTACTTTTACTTTATCGTAGAAAGGAATTGTTATGTCGGACAAAAAAAAGCTCGAGTCATCCACCGACGACGATCATGGAGTTGCTAAAACGATAGGATGCAATGAGGACGAAGAGGTTTCAAAAGTTGGAGAAATCTCGAAGGACAAGTTTCTTGACAAATTGGGCTTGGTCGCAATATCGAAACAAGAAAAGGAAGCAATTCCGTCGACTTCAACGTGTGCAGGTAATTAAAATAGTACTTAATAATAGAGGAAAGTTCAGGTTTTTTGTATTATTTGCTATTGAATTAATTGTGTTTTTTTTGTTTGTAAGTGATTGATTTTATAGTTCCGAATTTCAACAGAAGTATTGTTAACAATGATGTGCAACAACAACCACCTTTCAAGAGAACCCGATATAATGAATTACTACTTATGAGTGATGATAACGACGATGATGACGACTTCGCCACTTTCGAATGCCCTGTCATACCTGGACAAAATAATCGGATAGATGAAATGGAAAAGTTTTTCAGAAAAAGATTTACTGACATTGCGATGAGAGAAACGGCAGTTGAAGAACGAAATAGTAGTCATCCGTCGTGCAGCAGTAATCCCGACAATGTTGTTGAAGCAGATAAGACTACCGGCCTTGACAATTTACCACCAATCAAAGAACCTTCTCCCCACCAACAACAGGAACAGCACGAGAGTGACGAAATGTCATTGTCACCACAGGAATCTTTCAGTTTTAACAATTTGCAAGCCATTAGAGCATCAACTGCGGTTGCTGTTCCTTCCTCGGATCTGGTCAAACCTGTGTATATATTTGGAGGCAAGGAATACGTGGCGTTGGCAGATTTTCCCCATTTAAGATGCAGTGAAAACCAACATCATTCCAGTACCACACCAACAGCATCAATCCAGCATCATTTCAGCATTAGACCAGCAGTATCTCACGAGGATTATGCGAGTTTTAGAATACCTGCACGACGAAACCCTCATCCCGACATAATCTCACGTCGTCCCATTTCTCCCGATTATAACATCCACCACCCCCTACCAACGGCGGCTGACCGCAGCAGGTCGCCGTCTTCGATGGCAAGTTCCGTGATTGCTTCTGCATTGGCCAGCCTAAACAGTATAGCTCGTAACAACTCAGAGCCTTGGACATTACCGAGGGCAGACACGCCTGATCATCGTCAAGTTTCAAGAGCAAGACGTCTAATTGAATTAGAAGACACTGAATTGCTTGGATCCCCACCACATCATCGTAATAATAATAACAATAATAATAGCGACGGAGCTGTTGAGGATGACGCTGTAGCTGCTGATGCCACCGAAGAAGAATTTAGCGAGCTGGAAGTTGCATCGGATTCTGACCTACCGGAAAATCCGATTGAAAATTTTGATTCGACAACCGACTCCCCAACAGTCGATGTTGTAGGTTCAATAACTTATTATTCCTTTAAAATCTTTTCAATAGCTAAACCAAATGTTCTTGTTCATGTTTTTTGCAGCAAACTGCAGCTGCTACTCAAGATGAAGATGACGTTGAAAGTGAAAGTGGGGTTCATGTTTTTGGCAGGAACGGGTTTTATATTCGTACTACAGATTCGGATGGCAATGATTCCTCGAATAACGATACTACGATTGAAACAAATTCGAAATTCCACTCTTCTAAACTGACTCCCAAGAAGCATCCATGTGCACAGTGCGACGCAAGCGTTCTTTCAATATTCATTTATTGTCTCCGCTGCTTCAGAGTAAGAAATTTCAGCATAATTTCTTCATTTAAACAAATTATCCTTTATTCATTTGACCTTATAATCATCAGATTCGAAGAAATTGGCTCCCAAAACGTCCACGTGCACGGCGATTAAAGAAACGCAAGCAGCAGATGAACCGTAGAATTGACGTAGACTCGCTAATGATGACCACCACAAGTAGCACCACTCGACGTGGGGACCCATGTCTTGGTCAAGTTCAATCACCACGTATTATCCTGGACCGTGTAGATGATCCTCATCACCATCGATTCCTCCCATCGGACCGCAACATTGATCTCAACACTGCCTTCCTCGTGTCTGAAGATAACCCTGGACTCGATCGACTGCACCCTATTACACCCCCTGGAAGTATTACAATCTGCGAATTGCTCACTCCTCCAAGCTCAGAAGCTATGGGGGAAGATGAAAGGTCAGAACTTAAATGCATTTTAGGTTTAGATCTTGACCAACCTCACACAAGTGAGTCGCACCCTACTTCATCTGGCGTTGATCAACAGGGTAGCAAACCGGATAAGAAAACTTGTAGCTCAATTGATAGCAGCGACACATGCTACATTTGTTTTACGAGGCGAAAGAATTCCGCCTTCGTGCACAATAAGATCGCACATTTCTGTTGCTGTTACACTTGTGGAGATAAAATTCTCAAGAGGGATGGGAAATGTCCCATATGTAGAGAAAGGGTATTGAGGCTAGTTAAAGTATTGGATGTGTAATTTATTTATTTAAGGAACTCTAGCCTATATATTATGTATTTTTATTTAAACTCAATCAGAAGACAACATTGTTTGCCAAAGTAAGAGTACAAGATAAAAAGAAACTTAAGTTGTATATAAGTTGCATGGTTGTAAGTATGTTGTATGTAAGTTGCATGTAAATATTCAGATAAATGAGTTAAGTACGGATCAAATAAAGTATTCACAGAATGCTAGTTGTTTTTGGTGGTAATTGGTGCTAGAATAGTGTCATTCATATTGTACTGTGATAGTTTTCACAACTAGTTAAAATCTTAGTTCACTGAAGTAAAAAAAAATGTCTGAACGAGTCACGTAGATTGTAGGACAATCCAGAAAAAATGTATTTATTTATTTAAATGAAAGTTAAATATTGAAAGTTATACAATACCAGGTATTCGTGTATTAATAACCATAATTAATAAACTCATTGTGGAAACTCTAGATTTTTGAAAAACGAATAAAATATTTTCTTTTACTAAGAAAATGAACCGTTTCTTATGTATGACACAACAATGTATAATTAATTTTGCAAAAATCTAGTAATCGGCAAGGTATGCATACTAAAATACAATTTAAATCGGAATTAATACCGATTACACTAATAAACTATTAATAACTAATCAGCTAATTTCTACTATAACCTAAACAGACTTAATTGTTGGTGTCTTTTCAGTAATAATTCCATTAACGATTTTGGTAACAAACAATTAGTCGCTAAATATGAAACTAATTCATATCACTTGTTATACACATATTTCGGCCGATCTGACTTTTTGTGCGTCGTTCGATGCGTTGCTGCAATATAATTAATTACCGCAATTAATCAAATAGGTAAAAAACGTGCAATTCCAAGCCTAATTGAATGTCATCATCTAGTCAAACTAAACTCCAGTCAAATATTATAAATCCATTATGTTGAGTTGGGTCAATTCAGTCAGTCATAAAATTCCTCATTGATGTTGAAATTACTATAATTTCATGGTGGCGGATCACCAATTTGTAAAGCTTTCATTAATTTATCCTTGTCAAATTCGAAGTTATCCCAGGATTTTGCAGTCAAGGGTGAGTTTATGTACTCGTGATGCTTGTGTTTGTTTTTTATTTGTGAGGCTTGAATTGATGATGATGCCGCTTGCGCTACATTTGGAGTAGAGGTTTTAACAGAAGACGGCAACTTTCCGAAAAATGGAGATGATTGAGAAATGGATAAGGAGGTCGATACCGATTTAGAGCTATTGTTGCCGTTGTGATTGTTTGTGACTGGAATACCCATCGCCATACTTAGGAAATTTGCAGCATCCTTCGACGAAACTTGTTGAGAATCTTGACTAATGATGCTGTTGTCTTCAAAGAGTCGTTTCTTGATGTTGGCTCCTTTCTTTTTTCCGGAACCAATAGAAATATTTCCAGGAGTTTTATGAAATGAATCTCCGTCATCCTGAGATGATGTGATGCGCATACCTCCAAGCACTCTGATAAGCTCGTCTCCATTCTTACCCGGCACGGATGACAATGCGCCAGATAAGTTTGACGTAAGGTGGTAAGATTGAGAAGGAGTATTAATTGTGTATTCAGATTGAAGTGAATATGTCTCCTCCAAAGTGCAATTTTCTTCCTCCTCCTGGTTCTGATTGAAGTATTTGCTTCGAAAACATTGGATTCTGTTTCGACCTTCTAATTTATCTGCGATCCACTGCTTGAGTCGTCTACAAAAAACATTAATATCAAAAATAAGAAGACTACATAATGAGGAAAAGTGCCACTTTACGATTTTACTCACTTCACGTAGGTATAGATCGTGAAAAAATTAGAGACCGCTTGACCATGTCCTGAGATTTTAGGGTTTGTATCCTTCTTGTGTTCAGGAATTTCGTCAATGTTGAACCATGAAATCTGTTTGATTTCGTATTGAGTCTGAGGGAAAAATGGGAATTGGGTGTCAACTCCACGAACTAGATAAAGTCTGTAGAAATCAAAACAGAAATTCATTATTAATACGTTTTACACTACAAGCTTGGGCATTTATAATACATCAAATAATGAATGCATGAGTCGATATGATATGATTATCAAAATAATTTTTGAGTTATAATGTTACCTATCATTTCTATCATGAGTTTTACTTTCAATAAAGTGATTAGGATTTATTAAAGGCCTCATATTGTATCCAGTCTCTTCGAACACCTAATTAAATCAGCTTTGTAGTAATATTTCATTTTGTTAAAAATTCTACCAACTAACCTCACGAATAGCACATTCGATAGGATCCTCATTTTCATTCACTTTTCCTTTTGGGAAGCCCCACTGATTTCGAAATCCTTGCACGAGGACAACCTGTGTCAAGTCCTGATTCATTAAAATAGCACCGTAAGTTGGAACACGGCTTCGATAGGTACGAAAGTCGGCTAAATACTTGTCCACGTTTTCGTAATACTGTCGAAGGTGAGGTGCCTCCTGCAATATTGAAACCGTTCAAGTTATTTTGCAATAACTTCAAAAATATATATTACATGTTAATTGTCGATACCTTAAAAATTATGTAGGCAAATTGGTTGAATGGAATGTGTCCCAAACTGGCCAGGGCTGGGTCTCCTTCGTCCGTACTTTTTAGAGTATAAAAAGAAAAGTAACAAAATTTCCAGGATTACGTATAACGAGATTTTCGACCTTCTTTCAATGAAACTTACCAATAATGGTCAATAAAAAACCAATGAGCCAGCTCAACTTGAAATAATGCACGGACAGGATCAAACTTTTCCTCTTCTGGTATATTCATTATGAACCGGCTGAAAATTAAAGTACCGATAGCGTCGTATAGTCAAATCTTTCATATTACAGGAATGCAAATTCTTTCACCTACCAAAGAACATCCTGAATGACACGATCCGGCAGGCGAAACTTGATCACAGGAGGGGTCGAGTTTATCAACGGTTGCAGTAATTGGTCCTTCGACAAAGATGGGGTTTGCTGATAATGATGAGAACTGTTGGGTGTGCCCTTACTATTTGAGCGATGATATGACCTTTGCTGGTACTGCTGATAGAGATGATTCTGTCGCAAGTGTTGCTGGTGCTGTTGAAGAGTGAAGGCGTCCAAAATTTGGACATTCGAGTATGGCGAGGCACCCATAAGTCCCCCGAGGGGAAGGCTATTGACGTAGTTGAAACTCATCTACAAGAAAATAACATCAATTAAAATTTCATATTCACTTCGAATTTGGATATCATTGATATCAACAAATAAATCATTAAAATAGCCTCACCTTAACAGGTTTTTCTCGTCTAATAAACTTAATCAAACACAAATATTTTATCAAAACAAAAATTTGTTTTTATTAAATCAACATAAAATCAAAACTAAACTAACTAACCAAACAAAATTTGTTTAACAAATACAAATCGTTCATCAGAATTGACCTTGATTTACAATTTATTTAACAATATCAGCGCAGAGTATTTGTGTATCTTACTTTGATAATAAATAATCTTGGTCAATTCAACAATAAATAAAATCCTCAATGAATTAAATTAACTACTTTAAGTAAATAATTATTGTCGTTTTTGTGCTAAATAAATTCCCTCGAATTTCGAGTACGTCGCGTAAAATCCTCCAGTTTAAATAATAATATTCAACTTGCGACGATCAACCCGGCAAGTTCCAAGTTCCGGCTTCACACTTGCACAAAACTCCACATGTACAAACTCAAAATATTATTATGACAAGTTTTGTTTTTCTTAAAAAAATACAATAACTTTAATCACAATTAATTAAATAGTAGCCTTAATTATAATTGTGTCTGTGTGATTGTGGTCGTGTGGCAAGAATGGACTACTTGGAAGAACAGAGAAGCGAGCTCGAAGCGATCGAGGCAATTTACCCGATCGAGTTTAAATGTAATTAATTATTTTAAATAAAATTTCGTACATAATAGAATTAATTTTTTAATTGTATAATTATTTTCAGTGGTCTCAGATAGTCCTATCACATTTATGATATCCGTAAAGTCTGAAACGTACGAGGAAGGAGGAGAGGAAGGGCTTGCGTGTACTTTGAAGTTTGTATTTACGCCCAAGTATCCCGAACAAGTGCCTGATATTGAAATAATTGATGATGAAGAGGAGGAGGAGGACAATTCAAACCTTGAGCCGGAGGATATTCTCGACCTGACCGAGTTTCTGCGACAGCAGGTAATCAAATCATTAATCAATAACATATCTAGATTGAAGTGATTATAAAGGTAACGAGCAATGGTTGATTGATAATGTTTTATTTCCCATCAGGCCAACGAGAATGTCGGAATGGCCGTTGTCTTTACAATTGTTTCTGGTAAATATGCGCTAATTTTTACCGCATTTTTACCGCATGCTATATGTAGTTCAAAATTGTTTTTAATCATTTCAGCCGCTATAGAATGGCTTAATAACAAATGGGATTCAATTCTCAAGGAACGGGAGGATGAGGCAGAAAGAAAAAGAATTGCAGAGGAAGAAGCTGAACATGTAATAATAATAATTAAACAATTAAGATAAATCATGATAAATTTAACTCTATTTTACCCTTGTAGCAACGATTTGAAGGTACCAGAGTTAATGTACAATCATTCATCGCGTGGAAAACGGCCTTCGATCTAGAGCGTGAAGCCGCAAAAAAGAAACTAAATATAGGAAAGGACAAGGTATCGGCAGATTCGATAAAACTGACAGGAAGAGAGTTGTTCATGAGAGATAAATCTCTTATCGACTCGGATCTTAAGTTTGATGAAGGTAAGCTATTAATTGGTTCCGTTTCAGCAGCGTAAGAATTTTATGAAAAATATAACTCAACTTTCTTTACTGCATTTGTTTCAGATGATGACGCCGGGCCTATTGACGAGAGTTTATTTGAAGATATGGAAGATTTGGATATTGCGGATTCGGATGAAGAAAATTAAAATCATTTTATTTTCATTATGTTACTTACACGAGAACACTATCCGGTTTAATTTTATAAAACTCTTTCGAGTGTACTATACGTACGATACTTAAAAGGAAATTAATGTTACGTTATTCAGACTGATTGTGGGCAATACTTTGGATAATGTTCAATATCACGGATACTTTGAGTTAATTTTGTTCAGATTTGTATGAATAAATGTAATATAAAACTAATTCGAAATTCTAAACTTAAACTGTCTCATATTTTCATTCGATTTTTTCATGCATAGCGTAACATGTTTATACACATCATCACAAATAAACCGTCACAACGAATGTAACCAAGGGGTGAAAGAAGTGTGTTATCCGTATTTCAATTCAAATTGATGCATGTATGCAATTTGACCTTTAAATGACATTTCATGACCTTTTGACCTTGATGGGTGTGACCTACAGTGCCCATCTTCGAACTCGTCCTCTCTATTGACGTTAGGAGTTTACGTTCAAAATTTCAAGTGTCTATGTCTTTTCGTTCAAAAGTTATCGGAGCTACGGACAGACAGACGGACAGACGGACATAACGATCTTATAAAGGGCTTTCACCCCTTAATAATCTTTTTATTGTCTTTTGTTTATTTCCGTATAATAGAATCTTATTTTGACGTTGAAATACTACATTTTTTCAAAAATATTTTTACTGCATGTTGTTTATTTCCGTATAATAGAATCTTATTTTGACGTTGAAATACTACGTTTTTCCAAAAATATTTTTACTGCATGTTGTTTATTTCCGTATAATAGAATCTTATTTTGACGTTGAAATACTACATTTTTTCAAAAATATTTTTACTGCATGTTGTTTATTTCCGTATAATAGAATCTTATTTTGACGTTGAAATACTACGTTTTTCCAAAAATATTTTTACTGCATGTTGTTTATTTCCGTATAATAGAATCTTATTTTGACGTTGAAATACTACATTTTTTCAAAAATATTTTTACTGCATGTTGTTTATTTCCGTATAATAGAATCTTATTTTGACGTTGAAATACTACGTTTTTCCAAAAATATTTTTACTGCATGTTGTTTATTTCCGTATAATAGAATCTTATTTTGACGTTGAAATACTACGTTTTTCCAAAAATATTTTTACTGCATGTTGTTTATTTCCGTATAATAGAATCTTATTTTGACGTTGAAATGCTACATTTTTTCAAAAATAGTTCATATTTTACGTATTTTACGAAAAAAACTCCATGTTTTATATTATGCATACGTCCTTACTTTCCCTTTCATCCTGCAAAAACATTTCTCCTGTTCGAGTCCTCACAAAGCGTTACTGCTTCCTGCATACAACTCCATGTCTCTCACAATACCACAATCTCCTGCCCTCCCTTCCCTCGACCTGTCACACAAATAAAGGTGACACAGGGAGAGGAAATGCATACACTGACACATTCATGCAATCAGCCCGACGTTATTGCATTGTACCAGAAACATAAAGAATAATATATATCCATCCACACAGCCTGCTTGCACCACAGGCATGCACCCAAAATAATGCATGCATACATACATATCTCCAAACCAAACCCTCCTCCAAGTCTGAAATACCGAACCGAAACAGAGAAACCCGTGAAACGGTGAAATCAAGGAAGGAACGAACCTCCTTTTCCTCCTTTCTCCACATTCAAATGGATGGAACTGAGGAGAGTTTCGAGTGTTTAGAGAAGCTAGGAACACAGCTACAAAACCACTACCACGGGCAACTTGTGTACGTACGAACCAACGTATATTCCGAGACCACTTTTGATTCCAACAGGACATGGTTTTGAGCACTGCGTACATTTCCCCGTTGATCCCCCATCGATCCAACCAGTAGTGAAACTGCAGTTAGTTTTACTTCATACTTTTACTCCCGCACCTCTAATACAATATAAATGATGGTAGAATCGACTATGTTTTAGTCAGCATGTGCTCCAAGGCTGCTTTCCTTACGGCGTATTTACGACGGGGAAAGCATGACGAGTAAAAGCAGTAAAAAATTGCTTTTTATTCCTCTCTGTGAATGATACCGATCTCGTATAGAGAGAAAGCCCCCTGTTTAGGTGTGAACTTGACATTTAACGTCACTCAACCTTCTTTCTACCCACATGCATACATAGTTATTTAGATTGAGGCGTGATGTTTTCACTTGAGGCGAACTCTATATTTCTCAACCTATGGAATTGATTAGACCTTCACACCGAAAAGATTTGGACTTCCTGTTGTTGTTCTACTTTAGGATATGGCTCGAAAAACTCCATGAGACAAAGTTAGCTTCATTTATTACCATAACCAGTGGTCGCGGAAGCTGTGGGGACATTAACATTGCAGGATAGGGGAGGGAGGGGTTTATATAACATGGGGAGATGATGGGACGTCGAATAACCGTGGGGACATTGTCCCTCTTCTTCCGCGGCCATTGACCATAATCCACCACGCGGGCATAAAACCCTAATGCCGTCTAACCGATAAAGGCAAAGTATCTAAAAGGGAGATCTGATACGCATTATTACACAACAGCCATCCCACTCCACCCTCGCCTCGAGCAGGAAATAGGTAACACGAATCAGACAAAGTTGCGACACTTATTATTTGGTCTCTCGTCTCTATCTCGTAGAGTGTATTTTTACAACCGCCCGAATTACGGACCTCGAAAGTAGGGTGGTGGTGGTTTGGTTTGGTCCAGAAGAAGTAAAATCCAATCAAGCCAAACCTTACGTACGTAGACCAACTTCCCTTTTTCCTTCTCCTCTCTCTTAATGGAACTTTATTACTTTTTCGCCAAGTTAACCTTGTCCCCTCTTATTTCGCTCTCACCCACCCACCTTTCTCTCTTATTGTACTGTACATAACCTCGTTTTACACTTCTTCTTATTTCGAACCTTGCCGTAATTTCATCCCAGAAGAACTGCTACTCATCTCCCTCTCTTCTTCTTCTCTCCTGCCTGTCTCGTAACGTTACGTTAAGACCTTCCGGATTGAGGAAGGAGTTTACACTGCAATGCATATCATCCATGTGACGAGAGACCACTTTCTCCTCTCCCACTCACCCTCCCCCTTCCTTTTAACGACCAGGCAGGACGAGGCTAGGGAGCAAATGTGGATTTTTTTCTAAATAAAATTCCCCCCTCGCAGAATCTCAAGAAGAAGAATCTGCATCCAAAATCTGAGGAGATGGAAACTTTTCCTTTCTGACGAGATATACAACTGGATGTGGAGCGTGTTGTTGGCTGCACACGATTTCCGAGCTGGAGAGGTGAAGGGAAACCTGGAGAAAAGCAGTTTCTCTGGTGGTGGGCGCATGTGGCGTTGGATTTTGGATTGGAGGCAGCTGAAGGAAATGCTCCACGAACGACTAGTGACTAGTTCTGCTCTCCTGGAGAAAGAACAGTGCTGGAGAAATTCTTCTTCGAATGCACATCATCGATACCATCTGCTCGAGCCTCGTTCTTGGCATTTTTTCCGCTATTTATCCCTCCTTCTCCCTGTCCCAGGCTGTTTGGGACGGAAGAATTGAAGTTAGTTCGAGAACAATTTTTTAATTTGGGTGAGAAAATAGGGGGAGAAAGTTAATTGCTAATTCCCTAGTTTTTAAATAAGTAGAAAAATAGATTACAGATCCGGAAGTACTTTCTCCTGTTTTTTTTACTTACAATCGTGCTAATATTTTACGAGCTTTGAGCTGCTAATTATTCTTAAAGGTTCCACACATTTCTATAAATATTTCCTGCCCGGGTGAAAGTTAATCAAGCTTACAAATCAATATTAAATAGAGGGAGAGAAAAGTGTTTACAGAGAAGGAAGCCAATAGTTTACATAAAGTTGTGCTCCGAAATTGCTCGTTGACATTTAACAATAAAAAACATTTTAGTGTATTTTATCCAATTTCACTAATTAAATTATACCATTCGAACTTTCTCCAACAAACAAGTAAGTTAAAAAATAATAACTTTTAATGATTTGTAAATTGCGATTCATTCAAAAACTCGAACTTTCTCCACTTTCAAAATAACATAGAATTACAAACTTTTGTCTACAGTCTTATCTAGTCACACAACCTTCATGCACATGCTTTCTGTCATCCTGCCTTGACAAAAATGAGTCTTTCTCTAAAACATTTCGCCGCATCTGCACATTTCACGTACAGCTCAGAATATCTACGCTGAGAGAAAGTTGGTTGTTACATAAATCTCAATTTTCACAACTGCTCCCCCTCAAAAATAAATAGCTGCTGTAGTTATCGCACAATGCAGTGGTCGTATTTTCCACTGGATCATCCCATCTCTTGTGACAGCTATCTTTTAAACAAACATTTTGCACACACGTGGGCACTTAAGATGCATAACTTGAAATGGAGAAAGTTGCCCAAATTTAGTACAGGGCTCGTACAAGTTGACAGATTTGAGGCAAACTTGCACAATTTATTTTAATCTAATATACATAACATGGCATCTGTTTTACCATATAGTGATCTCCTCCTGCTGAATCGGAGGACAACAAATTTGCAGCCAAATTTCCACCAAGAAGATAATGCCCAACGTCCCCAAGATGCATATTCACTTTGAGAAATGTATAACTGCTCAGACAGACTGCACCATTTTGTCCTTGTCCTGGTAAGAAATACACAATTATCAGAAATAATTGGGGCAAAAGATATGAACTCATCGTCGATCAATAACAATAATAGTTCGTTACATGAAGAAAAAACAATGATTTCTTGGTTAATTTTAGGATGGGAAAGGTGCCGGATGAGCTACCTGAGGTACGTATTTATCTGTTATGTAACCCAATTATTAACAAAAATACGCTTTAAGTGTTCTTATGACGAATGAGGTTGGATTGGTTATGTCACAAATTAGTACCCTAAATTTAGATCCCGTCTCTTGTTTACTCACTTAAAACAGGAGAAAAGTGCTTCTAGACTTTGTTCATTAATTTAATTGCGTATAAACTATCTCATTCTCATCCCTGTTCACTCATTTTCTCTGATAAATCACTAATGAAATGACATTAGTTTCCACTACGTACTTACTTACCACGACATAACCACCTTTAATAATCTGCTTCTTGTCACCCTCCATTCATCCGACGGGTATTGATCCACTCATTAGAGAAAGGCTTATCACTTGCTGGGATACGATTACCGATTTGTCGACGTCCTCCTCCAAAGAAGAGATACAATTTGGGTACACTAATCTTGCCAAATTACTCTTGTCTTACATGCATTACATAAATTGATAAGTAGCAAAAGGCTGCAATTTGCTTCGTTCGAGATCAAACTGCACGCCAACAAGTAAGGACTGAAAGTGCAGCTTTATTTAGCCCGAGCCAGGTTGTTGTTAATCAGTGGCCGCGGAAGGGTGTGGACAGAGAAACAATATCCCCACGGTTGTTCGATGTCCGCATCATCTGCCCATGTTATACAAACCCCTCCCTCCCCTATCCTACAATGTTAATTTCCCCAGATGTCCCCACGGCTTCTGCGGTCACTGTTCTTAATAATTGAGGTGGGTATAAAACTTTTCATTTTCCACACATTTTGCTTATCTTCCAATTTGATTCTTAATTTTGCATATTCTACGTCTGTGCAAAATTTCAAGTAATTTCAAATTTCAAGTTCAATCGAAGAAAGTTTACTTACATAATCGATAGACAGACAGACAAACAGACACCCATGACGGGTACATAAGCCCTTTCTCCCGCTACCTTATCCATGTGGGAGGTATGAGTGGGTGGAAAACGGTGGTGGAACAACAGCCAACTAGGAAATTTTATATTCCCCAAAAAATTATCCCATTCCTACCTTTCAGTTATAAACATGACGATATTCCTTCCTTTCGAGAGAGAGAGAGAGAGAGAACTTCCTGGCCTGGCATGATACATATCCACAATTTCCCCTCGATGTTGAATAGCTAATCAAGGAAACATTTATGTAGCGAGTAACAATAGACTCTGGCAATTTATCAAGTCACTTTATTCCATGAATGAAGTTCACTGCACCACGACACGCTGCATAGTCAGTGGAGAATCGACTGAGTCAATAAGTTCTTCTGTTCTTCTCCTTTTCGTAATATATGCCATGCACATACATCCATGGATTGAATAGGAGGATGGAATACATGGGGAAAGGTGAATGCTTGAATTGTTATAGATCACTCGCCCTTTCCTGGCTTTCCTAACCAGAGGGAAGAAGAAGTGAAAGCCCTTTTCATTCCACATTTTCTCTAGAGAATTTCCTGTCCAAATTCGACTCCTACGTACGTACTAGAAAATTCAACCAAGCTGATCCACTCATCTCAAACATTTGCATTGGATTTGTTCATTTTATTCCTTAGTTGGGCGACGGGATAGAAGAAAAGGAGGGTGAAATGGTGGCATTGAAAAATATGTAGGATCATGTTGAAAGAGAAAGAGGGATTCAATTTATGTGTACAGCTACATGGAAATTTTTATTAAGAGATTTTAGTAATGTCAAACTTTGACCCTTGAATAATTAAGAGGTTTAGTTCAGGTTTTGGGGTAGATTTCAATGTTTCTTGGCTTTACGTCTTTTGAATTTGATATAGAAAGCTATACCTAGTTGTAAAGGCTCAAGTGTCAGTAGTTTAGAGGGCTACAACTTTTTAAATTTTAGCAATACAAATTTCTGATGTATTGCATTTAAAAGCCAGTTAAATTTCAAGTTGGAAACAATTTTTAGTCTTAAAAATTTCCTCCTCCTACGGCAATGCCACGCTGAAGACGAGACGGGCACTCCTCGATGGAATTACGCACAGATTCCAGGGACATTTTGTGGCATTCCGGGGTCAGAAAATTTTTCCAAGCCTCCGTACTTCTACGGGGCTTAGAACACACCTTTGCCCCTAACTTTGACCATTTTTCATATTCCGGTGATTCAAATCCAGCAAGGATGATGACCATTTCTGATTGGAGATACAGACCGGAATTTGTTTTTTTAGCTACGCTTGGGTCATTTTTTGCACTATAAATTCTTGCTGAGTCCTGCTGAGAGGTCCCATCGATTCCATTGAATTGGATCTCACTTAGGGGATGTACCACGGACTCAAAAACATATTTTAAGAAATTTGATTCCCCCACCTCCCCCCAATTTTCAGCAAAATGTAGAGAAATTACCCCAATTATCTCCCACCAGCAAAAATCATCAAAAAACCTGGATTATGTGACTTTCTGACCTTTTGTCTATATCGGGGGATGTCTCTGACTGATTTTGCGTAGATTAGGACAACTCGCTTGTTAAAAGATTTTTCTGATGTGAAAATCTCCTCATTTGTAAAAATAATCCTGCTCACTTTTTTGGAGCGTACCGCTTGAGGTGACTGCTGCATTTCTTTAATCTGGCTTTCCCTTGGGGTACGATCAGGATGTGGCAAGTACCACATTTTAAAGCCTTAAGCCCAAGCTTCAATTTGAACTATCATTGGATAATTTGGGTCGACACTGTCAGCAGCGGGCCCGGTTTCCGTTGGAATTTCTTGAATTTCTTCGGATTCCAGGCTTGAGAGGCTTAACGATGGGTGTGGTCCTTGGAGGTTTTCAAAAAATTCTTCTTCGACTGTTCTTTGTCGATTCGGTCCCCATGAACGTTTTTATAGTCCGTTGGGCTAAATTAAAGTACACCTTTGACTGTTTCAACACATGTCAAATTCACTAGTTTTCTTGGATTTTTTTTTTGTGAAAAACTCGCCGCCCGCTTCTCTTCAATTTCCTATATATTTATCCAGATGTTCAAAAATTACAAAGTCCATAGTGAATCATAATGTAAATCGCATGGGCTTTCCAATGCACGTATCGGTTTTTAAATCTGACAGGTAGTTTTCGAGAAATTAGCTGGTGACACTTGAGCCTTTACAACTAGGTATTTGTAACTGATTGGAATATTTGGTGTAAATTTTTTATTTATGTAAGACTTGGACTCCATTTACAAATTATTTAGAAAACATTTAACGAAAAAAGTGGAAATTCAGATAAGAATTTGAAATATAACACGTAAATATTTCTCATAGTGGTGAAACCAAGTGTAATTAGCGCACAAAATATACTCCTCAATTTATTCATTACCTCGCTCCAACTATTTTCGTAAGCAGGATTAAATGATGCATATCTAATTAGTATGCATGAACATTTACTTTGAAAGAACTAATTAAGCGAGGAGACAGGCCTTGAATCACAATTTTATAGAAATGTTTTACCAAATTCTTTGGAAATTCTGCCTTCTTTCTTCTTCCAAAAGGTATTCATAACATCTTATTGGATTCATTTTTAGAGAAGCAATACAAAGAGTAATAAAGGTAAAATTGTTGGGAAAAATTGAGTTGAACAAAATTCCTGGGAAATGTTTTCACAATATTTCCTCCTCACGTTAAACTTGTTATTGTATCGCTTTCTTCTCTACAGAATTGTGTTCACAAGTAGTCATCACATCGTCGAAGATGTTGTGTTGTTTCAACCTTTCGCTGAAAAAAGTGATTTGCTGCTCGTAGAGAAACCTTTTTTTCCCCAACTTCCACCCAACTTCTCGAAGAAAACTGGGTTTTAGCTTTTTCTCCAATACCCATTTTTTTCCTTTGAACTACAAAAAAAACTTTCAAACTTTCAAAACTAAAAGGCTACTTTAAATAAATGCATATAGCAGAAGCAAAAATCAGTGTTTTCTTTCTCAAGACAAGACACAAACTTGACTAATGAGACTTTCTCCTCTGCTACGCCCCATCCATTTCAATCCCAAACTTTTAACAGTGCGAGGAAGAAGACGAAACAGTTTTGCTGTGAATTTGAATCAATGCCCGTGGGAGAATGGGCGGGGTGACTGGTTTGGAAAATTCATGAGTTCAGCTACGAAGAAATGGCCGTGTTTTGCAAAAAGTTAAGTGGGGAAAGTTTGAGAAGGGGGAGAAGGAAATAGTGGACAAGACAATGCAGGCAGTGGCCGCGGAAGCTGTGGGGACATTAACATTGTAGGATAGGGGAGGGAGGGGTTTAAATAACATGGGGAGATGATGCGGACATTGACCCTCTGTCCTCACGCTTCCGCGGCCACTGAATCCGGGCGAGAAGGAAGACATGAAGGAAATACAAATAACGCTTCAAGGCCCAGCAATGAAACAGTCGGATTAATCATGAGAATGAGAAAGTTGTTTCTTCAACTCTCCAGACAGCCAGCAGTAGTGTTTTGTTTTATCTGATGTGTCAAATTTTGGCTTTAGGATCAAGGAAGTTGGTGGTTTGGTTGCATTTCGGATGGGGGAGGGCGTTAATAAAGTGCAAAATGAACTTGGCATCGTGCTCGTTTTATCAAGAAACTTTGGCATTAATTCAACCCGTTTTATGATAAGGACTTAACATTTCATTTACTCATCAAATATACGAATTTCAATTAAAATTCTGACCCCACCACGCCAAAATTCCACTCCACGCGTACCATTATATAGAACATTGCCAAATGTTAAATACAAGGTCAAACACGAAATAAATTTGGCCAAGCGACCGAGCCGCCAAACTAAAGTTGCACATGATCACACACACAAAAAGGCCATAATTTTCCCTCTCCGTTTCATGTTCCACTTTTTGGCTCAACTTTCTCTCTTTGTAAGTTCACAAAAAAAGTCGATCTCGTCGTCAGTGTGAGAATAGATTGCTTCTTTGAGTTTTGTGACAAACCGTCCAACCACAAAACCACCCACCACGACCGTTGTGACCCACCCGATGCAACTTTGATCATAGAACGGCAGATGCATGCAACAGAATTCTTTAGTCAGGGCGAGTTTCATCGTTATCAAGCAAAGTACATGGCAGACGTGGGCAAATACTTTGTGAAAATACGGGATCTTGAGCTCCGTTCTTAGATTTCCAGAGGTGTTACACCCACAAACAGACGAAAATCTATGTGGAGATGGCAAAAGTAATACGAAATTGCAGGTTTTCTAAAGAAATTTACTTTTTATCGCTGTCAAAATACTTTATTTTTTAATATAAAATTGTGAAAACAATATATTTTGACAGCAATAAGCCGTTAATTTTTTCATAAAACCTTTATTTTCATAAGACTATAGTATTCTCCATGATGCATATTTTCGTCCTTTTGTGGGTGTAACAGCCCCAGAAATCCAAACCTTGGAAGAACGGAGCTCAAAATAACGTATTTTCACAAAGTATTTTGCCCATCCCTGCAAACCAAATGCTTCATTATTACTTAGAAAGGTAGCCGACAACGATGTGTCATACATGATAAAGAAAAGATTAAAGATCCCTCCTAACAAGAAAGGTGCAACATAAAGTATGTCCGAAAATAGATGAAATTAGATGAAAATAGATGAAATTTTTTCGTCCACTTCAGCGAAACTTCTCCCTGACACGATTTACTTTTTGGCGACACACCCATCCCCACGTCCATGCCAATTTTGCTTAGAAAAGAATTTTTGCACTTCTTTATTTCGCACGAGATGAGCTCGTCACCAGCAATAAACTGACTTTTGCTTTCTCCCTTTCTCTCTCTGGAGCTAAATCGCTCCATGGATTTTTTTACATTCACGCCACGCAGATTAAATTTGCCTCGAAATCTCGTCATACAAAAGGAATTTCTTTATAGGAATGTGAATGAATTGAGTGGTATATTCATACATACGTCACAGCAAAGTTTCCCAGCTTTCCCATTGTTGGGTCAGGTTGGGTTAAGCCGATGTTACCAAAGATATCCAAGACCAACCAACTTTTGGCTGGATTAGTGATCGAGAGAGGTTTCAGACTCGAGACTCTTGAGACTATTACGTTACAAGGAAAAGATCCAGGGTTCGATACGAGTTCTGAATGTTGCAATAAATACTTTCCTACTTTCTTCGGAGAGAGAGCTAGCGGAGATTGGAAAAAAGTAAGGATTGAATTGGATCGGACCATAAATAAGTGTGCTACTACTACCCGAAAAGAAAACTCTGAGATTTTTTTTTCTGCACAGCATCGTGAAATCGTGGTATGTAGGTCGGACTGGCTGAGATTGTATTGGTGGTTTAACCTTTCTTCCCTATATTTTATTTTACCACGCCACAAAGCTGACTGAGAAAGTGAAAAGTGCCCGTTTTACTTTAACGATCCTCTCTAACCACCGCCACCCCTTATTCTGTTGGCACTTATCCTACCTGTCTGGATATCTCGTGAATCTGCAGTTTCAAGGGAAAGTCATAAAATTCAACTAGATTGGAAAATTTCAGGTGAAACGGCTTCAAGATGAGGAGGTTATACGTATGACTTTATATTCATTGCGGTTTTGGCAGAAATCATTACAAATTCTTCGCGAAATGGCACGTTTTCCACTAACAAATCACTTACTTGACCGACTTGCGAATTATATTTGCGCAATAACAGATTTCCTTCCTCCATTACATTACACATTATAGTTCCCTGAGGAGGAAAGTGGTGGTGGTAAAATAAGGTTAAAGTGCGAAATGTGATGGTTAGTTTAAAGTGAAATCTGCCATCAAGATTGTATACGGACAGTAGATAGACTTTCATATATTATGTTAGTCTGTGGACCAGTAGAGATAGCCGGATACGGTTTTGGAACGATGGAATAAATCTAGTCGTCCAATATTTACTCTATTTTATGTACCCTCCAGCTACGAGAATTACGTACAATCTGGCCGAGGATAAGATGAACGTGCCGAGATTTTGCCACCGTGGGGCAGACGCCTGCTTCAAATTTTATTCGGAGACATCGATTGGTCTGAATTCAATAAGGAAAATTATTGACAAATAAGAGGATCTCGTCAGAAATTCATGTCATTCATGTCTCCCTATTATTATTTATTATTATTCCGGATTTCCAGTTTCCACCACCACATTTTTTTTGCGTGACACTTTTTATTATGTAGGGTAGGCTGTGCATCTGCTGGTGAAGGGTACATACAGACGGATGGATGTGCGAAAACATGTTTTCGCTCTGAATTCCATGAATAATATTTGCCCCACTTCGCAATTCAAATTTCCACTTTCAAAATTCATTCAACAAATCATCTTCTGATAGATGGATGAAAAATTGTGGGTGGGTGGGAATTGACACAAATCTTTTTGAAAAAACCGATTGTCAAAGTAAGTAAGTAGGTCGCACAATAGTCATTTATTTACACAGGCTACGACGACGATGCGATGTCGATGGTCGCAAAACCACCAGTGGTCGCGGAAGCCGTGGAGACATTAACATTGCAGCATAGGGGAGGGAGGGGTTTAAATAACATGGGGAGATGATGGGGACATCGAATAACCGTGGGGACATTGTCCCTCTGTCCTCACGCTTCCGCGGCCACTACGACACACACATCTCTCCCCGAAGTCATCAATCACACGAGCACATCACAAATACTTCTACCTGACCGAGTAGTACCACTACCGACCGACACAAACATAGGACTTGAAGCTGGCTCAAAGCTATGACTCAAGTGAAAGTCCAGGGCCATGATGTGATGTATCACGAAATGAAAGCCGTAGTATGTAGTTTCAAAGGAAATGCGCGCAACTAGTGCTTCCTGGTAATCTTTGTCGCATCAAAGAAAATAAGTGGCACGTGGATTCACAAAGTTTTTAAGTTCTTATCAAGGTTTTCACACACCGTGAATTTCCTCGAAATCTTGTCCCGTAATTACTGCGTAGTCGGAAATTGGGAAATAATACGTTGACGAAGAGATTCCTTCCTGTCAGGTCGTGTTATTCCACAATTTTGAGCATATTTTCCATCCACCGTGATTTATCTGCCTCATCTTGTTTACTCTTGGTGAAGTGAAAGCACTGCCAGATTCAATCTCTCTAATGTATCTATTAAATGTAATCTAATGTAATGTATCTATTAAAAAGGGGGGAAAAATCTGTGTCAAGAATGTTTTTAAGTACTTATATTTTCCTCTTTTGGAAAAAAAATCGGGTTAAAAAATATTTTCCACGTTTAATCCGACGACCTACTTTCTCCCAGCTTTTTATCTCCCCTCTTAAATAATTGAATGTGTTTTTGAAGTTGAAATTTGGAACGTCGAAACCACAACGCGTCGTCATCTCAGCCAGGCATCACTAATCCAATTCAATCTTTGTTGATTTTGTGAATAAGTACATGCACACACAATGGACCTCATTAAATGATTGTTCTCCTTTCTCCTTGGCAGGATGAGGGCTGGAAACTAAACCGCAACCACTACTACCAGTCGGGCTGGTTGGCTACGGGAAATGTTCGTGGAATTGTTGGCGTCAGCTATACAACTTCACACTGGAGAAGGTGCAATTCTGCCAATGACGTGCCGGCAAGATCCAATTATAATTTGCGAGGACATCGTTCACAGGTAAGCAAGGAAGGGAAGGGACAGATTATAAAGTATTTCAGGCTGAAAGGATGAAAATCTCATTTTGTATCTCACCGCACAATGATAAATAATTTAATGGGAGGCGAGTTACATTAGAAAACGTATGTACAGTGCAGATTCGTTTAGCCCGAGAAAAATTGTTCTTAATAATTGAGGTGGGTATAAAACGACCACTACAATTTTTCAATTTTTCCACAGATTTCGCACATCTTCGAATTTGACTCATAATTTTCCATATTCTACGTGTCTGCAAAATTTTAACTCGATTGGACCAGTTTTACGAGTGTAATCGTTACACAGACCGACAGACACCCACGACGGGTACATAAGCCCTGACTAAAAACTGTTACGCGGTGTTAGTCGAAATTACGTTTACATGTTTTTTTCTTCTACATTCTCGGATTTTATTTTCCTTTTTGTCCAATGTGATTATGCATGAGTGCAGGAAAAGAGGATAAAAATTGAAAAACGAGGTGAAGGTGAACTTGTTTTTGTAAAAAAAGAGCAGAATTGTGTAAGTCGACAAGAGATTTTATGTCAGGATGACGACAATCTGTGTCTTCTCCACGTCAACAGTCAGCTCAGCAGCCCTGACATTTTTTCGGAGGATGAGACTTGGCAAAGTATGTTGAAAGGATCATCTTCATACATACATAAATCATTTATTAGCAGGGAAAGAAGGGATGAAAGTGGAGATAGGAAAACTTTTAAGCCCAGAATTCATATTCAAAATTAGGCAGGAAAAACTTTCAGAAATTATAAAACAGATCTTGTCGTCTGACGAAAGGTACACACAGACAGAAAATGTTCAGATTTCGCAATAACTCGTGTTAATTAGAGGAGGAATAAAACTTTTGACGATGTGAAAGTAGGCGGAAAACTAAATAAAAAGTTTCAGGAGATATTTCCAAACTTTTTTTTGTAACTTTGATTTTGTCACGATGTCCAATTTGCTAGAGTAAATAAACGTCTTTTGGAAGAGGGATAAGTGAAAATAATGCAGAGTGAAATTGCGAAATGGAATCCTTTCTCGGAAGGGAAATCTCATGTGGAATAATGAAGTTTTGAAGCACCTATCTTGATGAATTCGGTGGAATTGGAAGGGATAAAAAGGCTCAAGTTTTGACATCGTCATGTTTTTGGACACACTTTGAATCATTTTTTATCGTTTCTTATGTATTTCCTGTGAAATTGGAAAGTTGGAAAGATTCAATAATCATCCATATAAATAAGTATTTCCTCTCTTCTTACGCAACATTTCTTGAAAATAACGAAATTATTACTTATGATCCATATCATTTCGAAATACTCACGGAAAAAGTGAGATTTCGTAACGCACGTGCCCTCAACGTGAAAGCTATTCAATAACTTCTCAGAAAACACATTAAGTCCGCATGGTCAATTATTTCTCGTGGGGTTCTGTCAACGTAAACATCATTTTATGTCATTTCCCATAAAACGAGGGGTTCCTCCACTTTATTGGTTGGAGAAATATTATTACTTGATACACGGGTGGGACAAGGTCCAAAAACGTCAATAATATAATTACGTCAACTGCTAATTACCAGAGTCACGTTATTTCATTTAGGCAATCCAATTTTGTCGTGCTCTCCTTGGAATTATGAACGAAACGTGTTGCTACTTTTCGGGAAATTCCCCCCCCTAAATTTGTCTGGAAAATTTCCTAATTTTCATTCTCAGATTGCTGCTCGTTAGCGAGTACCCCAGAAAATGGGACCAATCAGCAGAGTAGTAATTTATATATAGGCACCTAATAATAACACACAGCGTAATAAATTAGATTGAATAATGTCACCCAATTAACACAATAAATCAGGACATGCTTTTCCATTTCCATCCATTTTACAGGTCCACAAGATTAAATATACGGAAAAATAATTATGTCCGGTGACACCCACCCTTCGTCCGAATTCTGATCCTTGAATCTCCTTCCCTCGCGAGATACAAAATCTGCTTATTGGATTTCGTTTTACTTATTTCCACCCGAACAACTTTACTTTCTCCAAATTCTCAAAGGGAGATGAAAAAAAATCAAAGTTAAAATTCCTGAAATATTTCAAACCAATTTAATTTAACTGGTCGACTTGACTTGACTTTGTATCACTGGGAAATTTTTGTGTTTCATCTTTTCCTCCTTTTGTCTTGATTGTTTTCGCTGCGGGTGACACTTTCACTTAAAAAAGTGGAAACTTTCTCTCCCTCGTCAGAATGCTGTCCTGTCATTCCTTCCTCCCTGCGTTGTTTGCGTGGTTGTTGTCGGTCTGTAGGGGATTTATGAAATTGGATGGTAATCCTCGACACGCGTCACCCTGCGACAAGGCCACATCACATCCCTCGCACAAACTTTTACTTATTCTGCCCCTCCTGAACCCCATCCCAACCCCAAAGAAAGAGAGGAAAACTTGTGTCTGTATATGTTCATATAACGAAGGATTAAGCTCTGTTGGGCTGGTGGGGAGGAAGACATCTGCTCTGTGTCATTTCATCTATTGACCCTTGATTCAAAGTGATAATTCCCCTGAACAAATTCAAAAGGCATTAATTTGTAAGGGTTGCATTCACGAAAGTATAAAATAGTGGGATTAAATCGAGCAATAATTTGGCGTGTGGTTTGATAATTTAGCATTTGGGGTATCACGCCCGTTGTTTTAGGTACGTATCTAGATTGCTATTCATCTCTCTGTATTGTGAAAAGGAGAGCAATGTAATGTCATCAAGGAAATGGATCAGATAAATAAATGCGTGCCATCTCATCTCATCTGACCATCCATAACATTCGCATTTAATAGAAGACCATTCTCGATGATTGATCCCCATACACACACTCCTTCTTTCTCTTCTTCTTCTCCATCTCTCTCTGTTCCAATGTTTTTATCATTCTCACTTTTTGTTCTGTGGTGTACATTGTATTGCATTCATGACGAAGGAGAAGAAGATTATGATCATTCATGGTTGGTCCAATTTCCATCAAATTCTCATTTACAGACCAAACCACTTTACTTTTCTCGGAATAATGTTCTCTTATCTTTACATACCCGAAGGCAACCCTTTCCCAAAGAAGGCTGCATAGCTTTCTCTCGTCCATTATTACTTGGGTGGTGATGATGATAAGCCTTTATTTTGTATGCCGATGAGGGAGGAAGTAGTGGTGGGGAGGAGGAGGGTGATTTTATGCCGTAGTCTGATGTACAATACTCTAGTGAAGTTTGGTATTTGGTGAAAGGTTTAATATTTCTGCTGCATTTGGTCTTTCTCTTCTTGACTTTCAAAGTGGAAGTGAGATGTGGATTTGCGGTGTCATACCCCAACTTCCTTCCTCCTCGGAGAAATATGAGAAGAGAAGTAAGTGAGTAAGCAGATGTATGGAATTTCTCATTTTGTGGGGAAAGAAAACCGTGGTAGAGAAATATTTAACGAAACTTTGGGCACGAAATAATTACACGATGCACAAACTAACTAACAATGCGATGACGCCAGCGGTCTCGCTCCGATTTTGACGAAACGACGATAATTATGTAGCCTTAGATAAATAATTAGACACATGTTTCAGGATTTTTCATAATGCTCAGTTTAAACGAAATTATGACGAAATCCGTGAGCGAGAATTCCCATTTTTCTCTCAAGGGAGAAAAATACCGATTCTCCATTACGGAGTCCATTATAATTTCATTTAAGCTTAAAATGCGTGGGCATGAAGTATTTTTCCGATTTTATGTTGCTTGTACAAATCTTGAAATTTTGAAAATTTTTGAAAATCTCCAAAAATTTCTGAAAATTTTGAAAATTTCCAAAAATTTCTGAAAATTTTGAAAATTTCCAAAAATTTCTGAAAATTTTGAAAATTTTGAAAATTTCCAAAAATTTCTGAAAATTTTGAAAATTTTGAAAATTTCCAAAAATTTCTGAAAATTTTGAAAATTTTGAAAATTGCCAAAAATTTCTGAAAATTTTTGAAAATTTTTGAAAATTTCTGAAATTTTTGGAAATTTTCAAAAATGAAACAAACCAAAATCGTAGAAAACCACTTCGTGCCCACCAATTTTAAGTTTAAACGAAATTATAATGGACTCCGTAATGGAGAATCGGTATTTTTCTCCCTTGAGAGAAAAATGTCACGGTGAAAATGGGAATTCTCGCTCACGAATTTCGTCATAATTTCGTTTAAACTGAGCATTATGAAAAATCCTGAAACACGTGTCTAATTATTTATCTAAGGCTACATAATTATCGTCGTTTCGTCAAAATCGGAGCGAGACCGCTGGCGTCATCGCATTGTAAGTAACCATTCACTTTATGCATACCTTATTCCTCAATTAGTGCTTCGGGCGGTGTAAAGTAAAATTTCCCCAGAAAACGGAACTTTCTTACCCGGGTGTTTTCTCATCTCATACATTATAAATTCTTCCAGGGTAAAGTTCAGTCACTCCAGCATGGGGAAGATTTTACACCCTGAATAATCCATACTCGGGACGATATAATGATAAAATATTGACTGTTGACTTTTGCCAGAAGAAGAAGGGGAGCTAAGGATAAGCTAACCTTGTGCTACATACGGACACAGTTTGAGTGGTGGTGGTGGTGAAAGCATTAGGAGCTCTTCTGCCCATATTAGTTATGCATGTATGAGGGATTACTCCAACTAATGAGTTATGAGGGTTGCACTACATGTGGTGGGGGATTTATGTCCCTTCTTATTTTATCTCGGCTCCTCATCCATCCATCCATCCAGATCCACTCCGAATTCTTTTCCACCGTGGAAATGGATCCGTATAGACTTTTGTGGAGGAAAAAAGAGGGAATGAAAGGGAGAGGAAATTGAATGCGAATGTGAATGTCAGATAAATCCATAATACACGCACAACGCATACAATGCACTGAATTGGGGTTTTCGACTGCATGGGAGAAAAGGTGCCATACAATTCGAAACAACAATTCGCCTTTAAAACCTCAACCCCTAA